TGGACATGACACCGAAAACAGAGTGAGAACAGCTTGGCAAGTGGTGCAGCCAAAACTTTTGAGCACTGCTTCAGAACTCTGGCAGGGATGCCATCGGGTCCGGTAGCCTTGGTTGGATCCAGCTGGCGGAGCTGGCGCTGGACTGTTGCTTCCCGAAATCGGACAGTTGTCAGGGCAGATGTACACCTAGGAGGAAGGTCAGGAAGGTCGGAGTGCTGTAGATCTTGATCACCCAGACTGCATTTGCTCGCAAAGAATTCTCCAAAGCAAGTAGCCTTTTCCTGGTTGGTGACATATTCTCTACCCTGGGCATTGCGTAGGACAGGGATAGACGAGCTGCGGCCAGAGCCTGCAGCTTGCTTCAGGAGTGACCACCATTGCTTGTTTCGCAGTGATCCATGTTTGAGCCGATCTCGGATGCGGGCAGATTCTGCCTGCTTTGCGAGACGAAGGCAATTGGCAGAGGCTCGGACTTTGGCATTGTAGTCAATGAGTTGCTGGTGGCAGGTGGGGTGTCTCCTGAGACGGTTCCATGCATTCTTCTTTGCCTGGGTAGCGGCTGAGCATTCCGGCGTCCACCAGGATGGATCTGTTGGTTTCGTCGAAAGTTCTTTGTGTGGAATGAAGCGATTCATGCCTTCCATGACAACAGCGGTTACTGATCTACACGACGCCTCGGGGTCTTCTGATATATCCCAGTTTGCTGTTGAGTAGAAGTGCCGAAGCCGGCCCCAGTCTGCCTGAGCATGGGTATGTTGTGGATTGTATAATGATTATAGTGGTACATTCTTGCTGTGTGGCATGAGAACTGAAGTGCCGTATTTGCCATAGGCCTCATGTGGTGAAACTAAAAAATGAAATTTTGTGGGCAAACCTTTTTTTTAGTATCTTGATTGAGTTTTGATCGGGACTAGTTACAGGGAGCTGTATTGATCAGACTTGCACAAATTTCCAAAGTACATTGTGATAATGTAACTGAGCCACTTGGAATAGTTTACTCGGAACGCACTTGTAGATTGCGTCCACTCCCATCAAAAGTATACTAAATATCATGAGTATAATTATAACTCTTGATAATATTCGTTTAATATAGGTAGCGCAGACATGCATGAGAAAAAAAGCTTTCCTAGAAAGGGTGCCTTGATCTTTGGGAGTCGTTCCTACGTTGGCGAACCGTGATTTTTTTTAGAAAGGGTACCAGAAATTACACTACACCTGTAACCAAAAAAGGTTCACGTACATGACTGTACAGGCACCGTATTTCCCAGAATAAACTGAATCGAATCCAATTACTTCAAGTCGCACGCCCACTTTCAGGTCTTTGTTGTATAGATTCAGTGTATTCACTCCAGCGAGAAGTCACGTTCAATTGCAGGTCTTCTTACGGACTTCTTCCACCTTGGGGTTTGTTGTAAAAGGTGCGACTTAGATATTGGGGGAGATGCGTCGTGTTTGTTATTGTACATTGATGGACCGTGATGGCATGCTTGTGAACACAAGAAATCAGGCTACTAGTTGTCAAATGCCTGCTTTCACAATAGAATAGGTTTCTACGAAGAGCAGGTGGAAGGGGTTCCCATGCAGGGAGGGGGGGGGGGGGGTCCCATGGAGGACAGGTATCTATATAGGACAGGAAACCATACCCGGCACATGCACATAGAACAGCATGGCAACTTTACTCTTTCTGCATACCGGTAATTAAATATTGGCAGATAACAGAAGCGACAAGCGCTGTGCTCTCAGAACATGGCTGTTGATGTACATGCGGTAGCAAGGCTAGTATCAATGGCTAAGTAATATTTACAACAGACGTGCTAGAATCACACACTGTACACATCTTCAACAAGGGATTGAAGTTCAATGCCAGGACTTTCAGCCACTGGGAATGGAGTTCTAGCACAGGGGCCAATTCAAAATATCGACCTCTAAAATACATGCCTTGACACATGTTGGCTAACAGGGATTTTACGGTGTTTATTTGATAGATAACGTCTTCAAGAGCATCTTTGCCAAGTATGGTGTGTCTGATCGCGTCCAAAGGTCCTGAAATCACCCTCGATAGGAATACAAAATTGCCGAAAAAACTAAGTTCTCATCGGCTATATTCAAGCATTTCAAGACTTTCTCGGTACTATATCGCCTGGACCTGGGAGTTTTTACCCTTTTAGGTGCCAGGAGCTATAGTAACACCGTACATACAAAGAATGCGGACCGACGCGTACACGGATTTTGTACAGGAGTTGGAAAGATTGAGCATCAAGTAGTGTAGTTGTGATAGTTGTGATATACCAGAAATGTGTTACCTCATGCGGACACTTTCTTCAATGTTTTGCATTGACTTGCTGGCGCTTTTTTGCTGTCGAAGCGTCCCTCGTTACATCTTGGCTCCCCGGAAAAGTAGACATGATTCCAACAAGGAGCAGGACAACAATTATGTGTGGAAAGCAGGAAAGGTCATCATAGCTTGCCAAGCCAGTTGTAACTACTAGTACTTCGAAGTATTCATAGGGCGACTCCACAACCGTGGAAAGTTTCAGACCTGGCTTAGTTCATCGGGCTGGAATGAAGGCATTTACTTTGTGATTGAGTACCGCTGCACAGGAGGTGTTACAGTGGACGAGCATTCGATTCGAATCTACAAGAGCAGCTAGTGTTAGTACCATGATTTGAACACACCAACCGTGGTGATCAGCTACGATTTGCACAAAAGCCTATTTACCAGCTCAACAGCTCTAGGACAACTGCAGTAGGAGTGGCATGCTGCAGCGAGAGGGACTGGCTAAGTGGTGTGGAGTGTTACAAAAACGAAATCCGAGAACCTGGAGGTAATCTATCACAATATACGACACCAGCAGTAGAAGAATCCTTTCCCTGTCACGGAATTTGATGGCTGGGCCTAGGCAGCGTGAAACAGTTTTAAAACACTAACTGCAAGAAAGAGTCCGATGTCCAATGTCATGGCTTGTCTCTCCTGAACTGATCACGGCATGTAGTTGATGCAATTGCGGTGAAGAGGGAAAATATGTTTATATACATGTAATACCTCATGTACTAGTGGCTAAAGGATTGTCCATGACTGCAGAGCCAACAGTAGTGGTATAGGTGATGGAGTAGGGCTGGGCTGTACGGCGTAGAGTTTCCAAGGCTCAGACGGAAGAACAAGTTCAACTAAAGTGAAACACATGGAAGCGAAAGTATTCGTATCACGATGTTGGGATCGATCAGCTTTTTAAACTGCAGCTATTCACATGTGAGTGTTGTCCAACTGCAGCCCTGAGGTCTTTTCAAAGCAGATAAGAATAGTGGCAAGCTAGCCAATATTTGGACAGTTATCTATGCAAAGGATTTTGGTATTTCATTTTCATCAGTTCTTCATTACGGCACTGCCATTGCATACAAGTAGTGCTCTCCTTCTTACATTGCTGCGAGATCTATCGTATTATCTACTTCAAGTACACGCACTTCGAGTAAATTAGTTCAGGTTGCAACTGCCCTACAGTAAGATCGGGCGCCGAAGAACACCTCGCCGAAGAACACCCAGGCTGGAAAACCGGCAAAATTTAAGAACAGTCCTGGCTAGAATTATCAGATTTAAAGGGGAAGTTAAGGCAAAAATTAAAATTTCACCAGTTGTAGTCTTCGAGGTGCTGAGTCGAATGGTCTTGGTCCGAGGAAGCTGAGACGCTTCCTTCCTACTTGAATCCCAATCGAACTCGCGCACTTCCACCGAAACTGGGTGACTGCGCCCTACTAGATAGGGATTTGTATGCAAAATGTCACTAAAAGCGCCATTTCGTTCTTATAAAAGCACGGATGACCGCGATTGGCCCATATGTTGTAGTCTTTTGGACGCTGAGTCGACTGGTTTTGGTCCGAAAAGGCTGCGATGCAGCGTTCCTCCTTTATTCCCAATCGAACATGGTTGAAGAAGCGGTCACGTGCTCCTGGGTGCCCAAATCAGCTGGTCACCACGCCAGCAGGCGACAACTTTCACACCAAGGTTCAACTCGAGTTCAACTCGAGTGACAGGACTGCACCCAAAAAAGGTCAAACAGGCTAGTAAGTTGTACCCTGCAGGCACGGTGACCAGCTGACTGGTGTACGCAGCAGCACGTGACCACTTGTTCGACCATGTTCGATAAAGGAGGAACGCTGCTTCGCAGCCTTTTCGGACCAAAACCAGTCGACAGCGTCCAAAAGACTACAACATATGGGCCAATCGCGGTCATCCGTGCTTTTATAAGATCGAAATGGCGCTTTTAGTGACATTTGCATACAAATCCCCATCTAGTACGGCGCAGTCACCCAGTTTCGGTGGAAGTGCGCGAGTTCGATTGGGATTCAAGTAGGAAGGAAGCGTCTCAGCTTCCTCGGACCAAGACCATTCGACTCAGCACCCCGAAGACTACAACTGGTGAAATTTTAATTTTTGCCTTAACTTCCCCTTTAAGAACACTAGATCTACATTGTACGTAGATCTACATTGTACATGTATGGGAGGTGAGTACATGTCATGTACACGTGTAAACAGTAACTGCTACATGTACAGTCATTCCCATTTACGACACCCATTAGTTTAGAAGTACTACATTGCACTACATGTACATGTACGCACATGTACATGACAAACGTCATGACGTCACTCGACTCGCCGCGCGCGTGTGAATAAGAACGGTCTGGCTAGAATCAAAAATTTAAGAACTTTCCCAGGCTGCGCTCGAGCCCCTGCGTTCTTCGGCGCCCGATCTTACTGTATAGCATTTCCTACCTTATACTCTGACAGTTTCCTACCCACCCTTTCCTTCTCCTGTCAGTACTTGGGTTACAATACCTATTCTGTCAGTTGAAGTGTAACGCCCAACCGTCTGAGGCTTTTCTCTGTGTTTGCAGTCTGATATACTAATGCATGTACAAGTACATGTAAATAGTATCATGTACCTGCTAGCTGCACATGCAGGTACATGTACATGTACCTCAATGCTAACATTCGACGTGACATGTAATGTCATGTACAATGTACATGTACAATAGCCTAGTTTCACTGCACTTTGGAATTTGTTTTACACTACAAAAGCACAGTACTTGTTGCCGTACTGTATCTACTGCTTATTCTGAGCAAAATGAGGTGCTACTTGGCCATATACGTGTCAGTAGAAATGGATATAGGAGCAATTCTAGTTACAAGTAGGTTGCCATGGTAATAACGGTCTTTTCTATTTTGATGTTTTTCAAGATGTTCGGACACAATTCGGCAATCAAAACCTATGCCATCGTGTTCAGGAGGCAAAAACCATCCAGGAATGATCATAAAATCCATGTTAGCCAACATGCGTCAAGTAAAAGTGAGAAATTTCAAATGGGCCCTAGGGCTATTCTAACTTTCTGCGGTTTCGCGCGCCTCCTCTTCTGCTTTGGACCTCAAGATCATCAGTAGCTTCTTGTTCTTGCGCTCAAGCTTCTCCACTCGCCGGCGCTCGCGTAGCTCTTCACGAGGATTGGTTGGCGGTGCACGGTTCTCCGTGTCCAGCAAATCGATCGGCTTAAAGATGAGATCAAGATTGAGCTGTTCACCTTGCTCGAGTGGCAAATCGCTGATCTCGATCGGAGTGGACACGTCGTGGCGCACGGCTTGAGCCTCCAGTTCGTCCACCTGGAGTTTGGTCTTGTGCAGGCGCTGCTCGGTGGCCTCTATTGGCGACTGCATGCTCTCCGGGTCGGTTTTCCAGTTGAACTGGGTAGTGCATGTGCTAGCATCCCTGCAGTATTTCAATGCGTACGCACGCACGCACACACACACACACACACACACACACACACACACACACACACACACACACGCGCGTGTATTGTGACCTTGATAGCACCTTGCCTAATGGCCACGTGGGGAGAAATTTCAGCAGCAACGGAAAAAGTAATGCTTGTAGCGGGTAGTTCAACATCGCCCAAGTCTGATTCATGGTTGAATTACAGGGAAATGAGACATTCATTCAGCACATCAATGCAGGACTCTACCTGACCAGCTGGATAACTGGCCTTAGGTTGATAGGCCCGTCGCATATAGACTAAGGCATGCCTCTAGCTACTACATATACCGTAAAAGCCTGTGAATACGCCCACACCCAGTATAACGCCCACTACCCGTGTACACGTCCAGTTGCCACGTGTCAACACTCTTGTCCTTTTTTCTAGCCCACCTCCGTGTGAACGCCCATGGGCGAAAGTTCATGCCCAGTACACAGCGCAATGCATGCACATGCGCACAGCTCCATGTGCATGTACGGTACTGTAGTATAACTTAGTGTACAGTACATTGTGCTAAGCTTATACGTACCCGAAGTAGTACAGCCTGATGTGAAAATTAGTTTGATTTCATTTCTGTGAAATTGCGCCCGGGCCTACATTAGGGCCCAGGCCCTAATTGACGCCCATGTTTTTCGACCTTCACTGACGTTTCCGCCCAGGGCCTTATTCCGGGCTTTTACTTTATACATTGTAGTACAAAGAAGCAAGAGTGAATAAGCACCGGCGGTGTACAACTCTGCATATGGGGCCTCCGACAGCAAAAACTCATGTGACGTGTTCGAAGTACGTAATGCATTACGCACAGCGAAAGTCAGGGTGCGCACAGTGCGGATATTTGCCATGATCGTGCCAATGACTCGCATAAGCTGGATGGTTTTCTGTTAGGAAGTGCTAATTTTACCACTCCACTGCTTGCTAAAAAGTTGAAAAACGGGCTGGGAGCATACAACGGGAACACTACATCACGTGATGAGAGTTTTCACCACCAACGGACCCCATAGAACAGGTATCCAGAGCTGCACACTCTTGGGAGTTATTTCCCTCTTCAGTCTTGACAGTACAGTACATGACTATAATCAAGAGTATGTAGCTGTCACACCTCTGATCTATAGTATAGGGCTTTGAAGTGATGACGACCACACACACCTGAAAATCCTTGCCAACGAAAGGTCTGGGTACAAACAAATCTTAGCATCCTTTTGCTCTACTCTGCGCTGGAGAAAGGATGATGAAGTTAGCAGGCCAATGTGCCGAAAGGAGAAGGATACCCGGGTACTTGGTGTCACGTAGCTACTCTCATCTGTACACAGTACAGGCACTCTGTAAAATTTGAAACTCTCACTTCAAAACACTACTTGGTGGGGGGGGGGGGGCGCAATGGGTGTTTGTACCCAGTTGCTACGAAGTTGTCAACGACCTGACGTCACACTCCGCAGCCCTAAAGGGAAAGATGCACGGACACTGCCTTCGTAAAATCATGCAGCTACATGTACATCTGCGCACGGCGGAAAATCAAATGCCACGCTTTCCAACTGGCTTGGAACCAACTTGCACACGCAACTGAGTTCCTGAACACAACGTTTAGAGGTCACATCAGTACTGGAACGAAACAAGCAAAGTCGGGTGTTCTGGCATGAGAGATAATTGACTATAGTGCATGAGTCCAGGACGCGATGCACGCAAGTCAAGTAATGAAGGCAGCGCGCCGTGCACTGGCCCGTAACCACAGTCGCATACCTCTGGTTATGCACTCTTGATAGTGCAGTAAAACCTGTCAAGACGACCACTCGCATAAGGCGGCCACCTGTCCTGGAAGACCACTGAAACTAGGACCAAGGAATGCTGCATTGTATTTCCCGTCAATTGACCCTGGAAAAGGAGACCGGTAACAGAGACCACGTTTTGAAGGTCCCTTGAGCGGTCGTCTTAGACAGGTTTCACTGTACATGACACATGATTGTGTTGATTACAATACGCAGGCAGCTCAATACCTTGCACAGCTGTGCCGGTTGCCAACCACAATTACGCCTGTACAGTGTACATGTACCGGACAGTAGTTCCCAATGTACAACTAGTACATACCAGTGTTGTAGTCCATGTACAGAGTCAGACTTACCCATATTCGGCATACGCTGCACAGAGCTCGTCCATTATCTGATGCGGCACCTTGCCATTCGTGGCAATGTCAATGTGTTCACGTGTGGCTGTAGAAAGCAACATGCATGGATATGACGGATGAGTGAAACTAGACACACACACACACACACACACACACACACACACACACACACACACACATCACACGCTACATACTACATGTACAGTCCATTCAGATACAACAGTCCGGCTGGCTATGTAAAGCCTGATTTTGGCCGAACTAAGGAACAAACCGACGTTAAACTCAACTGTTTTAATAACAGTTTAGTTTGGACCTGCTTCTCCATACATTTTGGCCAGGTATACCTGTACTGATTACTGTAAAACCTGGCCAAATGTTGAACCACTTTTTCCTTTTCTCCCTCAAACGTTAGGGTGCCAGTTTCGGATGGACTGAAGTACATGCATCCTGTAGCTGCATACAGAGATGATACACTGCATCCACATCACACAACTGAGTCACAGCGTGCCACATCTGGGTCACTGTCGGAGAACACCAGAAGGCAGCACACACATTTTAAAATACAGCCAGAAATCAGGTATTCCACGACTGTATGTACATGTAACACTTTCAGTTCCACATTTTCAACATGCCTAAACACACACACAGTCGTTGATCATAGATGAGTGATACCCATCGGTACGGGACAATACATTTGACCCCAAAATTGGACAAGGTTAGCAACTGGTTAAAAAGTGAAACAACAACCTAGTAGAATAACACACTCACGGGATAGAGCTGGATCCAGATGCAAGCGGACTTGAGACTTAGAAGAATCCATATCTATATCGTACTTGAGTGTCGGATTGCGATAACGCAGACCGCAAAAATGCTCATAGAAAAAATACCTGAAAAAAAAAGAAGCAAAAACACAACACTGCTATTGACTACCGTAAAGTCTTGTATAAAAGCCGCAACTTGAATAGAAGCCGCCCTCGAATAGAAGCCACAATTTTGGACCCATCAAATCACACATAAGCCTGGTTTTAGTGTTGACATACATAGAAATACCTGTCTTGTATAGAAGCCTGTCTCATATAGAAGCCTGCAAAATTTCACCAAGAAAGTCATAGCAGCCGCGGCTTTTATACAAGACTTTACGGTATGTATTTTCCAACCGGGATGACCTACATGATTGTAGTGGTTATACGGCCACCTATGGTCTTTTACACTAGTGGAAGTGTCCAGAGGTGCAACCAACATTACGTAGAGGATAATACCCAAGCACATGTACAAGGGTGATACCCCCCCCCCCCCCCCCCCCCCGAATATCAATCCCGCCTGCGAAGCAGGAAAGGCTTGACATGAGGGTACAGTGTCACCCACGTATGCGGGTCAATATCCTAGTTATCCCCAGTACACAGATTTTATTTGAGTTTTATCCACTCCCTACATACTTCTATTTTCATTATTCTATTGGTTTGGAGAGACTCCCGTGATAGATATCCATTTACCTCTGGACAATCAGTTACCTCTGGACAATCGTAAATAAACAATACAATACAACAAAACAATAGCTACATATTCTTCCAGATCGACTGGGTCCTGAGTGCAGTAACGAAAAACAAGATGCTGCCCTTTGTTTTCGTCAGTCAAGGCTGTCATTTCAGTACGATGAAGACAAGTCAGTCATTGGACAAGAGAATACGCCACAGATGGCATGTCTTGTGTAGCAGTGATGTTGGGTATGATGGTGCATGTTCTTCAAAGTAGGTTACTTCACGTCGAGTCCCTGGAGATTGCGAAGCGGATAAACTATGGATATGCGCCGGTGCTACTTCCTCGTCGTTGGATGGCCGTGGAACTTTCAGCAGCTGGGAACCCTTGTAAGTTGTTGCACATATTCCGTTCGTAATTAAGTAAATTGGCACCAGTGAGTTATTTGCACTTTGTTGTATCACTATCGACCACTATGCAATCAGAGAAATGTTTACTTAATTAGGCATAAACACCATAATTATCATACTATACGTTCTGGGAAAACTCTTGACCTCCTTTGCCTTGTGTGTCGAAGTAATGGTTGCGCAGTTGATTTTATTCATAGCTTCATTAGGCATACTAGCACATGATCCATTTGTTCTGTATTCGTGGTAGCATCCACATTGTACAATGTACATGTACGTTGTTCTTGTGGTGATCGTACTGGACACAATGACAACATAATCACTGCAGGCTGCATCTTACATGCAGGTTTCTACACTATATCTACATCACACATGCATTGCTGAGCTCTTCTTTTACACGATATTCTGTACAAGAGTAAGAGGTTTAACCTCACGTTCACGCGTTCGTACTTCCGTTGCTGTTACGGTATCTCTCCTTAGCGAACTATGCTTTATGCCTAAGCGTTGAGTTGTATTGTGATTGAGGTTCGTTATTCGTTTGTGTGGAAGCTTGGGCTTTTTTTTATATTCTTCGGAAAACTGAATCGAGGTAAATATATGATGTCATACTAGACTAATGTGATATAAAGTAATCATGGTAATACCGAGGTGAATTGTAAGAGTCCACATAGCAGTAGCAAACCATCATGCATCATGCTTCAAGTCTGTGTTCGAAACTTCATAACAGTTTCTGCAACATTGCAAGGAGAGTCGACTAAAGCTTGACTGACTGATGAAGATGACTGGAGGGTTGCAGAGTGAGAGTGAGAGTTGTGATCTTCCTGGGCAGTCAAAAAGGAAGTGTGTTGCATCCTCGACGACGCCAGGGCAGAACACACAGTGAGGCGAGTCTGCAGCTCCAATGCGCTGGAAGTAGCCATTCAGAAGGCTACAGTGGCGGGTCATCAGCTGGTTCAGCATGCAGGATGCTTGCCTTGTCTGAAGGTCACCGAGCTTCTTTGTGTCTAGCAGTAGTGGCGTGTACCGTGTTGCCTTACGGACTGCGGTCTTACCGGCTTGTACTGGGAGACGGATCAGCCCATGGGGGGCCTTGGTACCAGCCGCAGCCAGGCGATCCACTTTATCGTTGAGGAACAGGCAACAGTGACTGCTAGCCCAGAAAAGGTGGACGCCGCTAACAAGCTGACTAATGCTTTTGATGGCCTCAAATACAGGTATGATATCTGGACTCATGCGGTGCGGAACACTGGCAACAGAATCAATCAACAATCGACTGTCCGTAATGAGGATGAGGTCTGGCAGCAAGGGTTGAGGGTCTCAACTTGGCGAAGGAAGATTGGAAGACAGTTGCCAGCAACAATGACACCAGGCTTATGTTTGAATCAGAATTCTCCGAGTCTGAAGTGAAACATGTCTTGCAATCTCTGGTTTGTACCATGTGCGGCGGATCACATGGTATGCCGCTGCAAGTGTTATGTCATCTCACAGACAAGGCCATCTCCGAACTTTGTCGAATTGTTAACCTGTCCTGGACCACTGGCTATTGTCCAAGAGCTTGGAAAACCAGCCTACTTGTCCCTGTACCTACGCCCAAACCAGGTGCATTCAGGCCTATCAGCCTAACAATGTCTTTGCTCGAGTTACTGACCGACTGGTGACAAGGTGCTTGACGCATTTCCTGGAGCAAAATTTGAATTCATTCCTGGCGAGCAGGCTGGCTTCCGTAGAGCAATGAGCACAGAAATGCAATGCTACTCTCTTGTCGGGTGGATTGCCCAGAAGCAACACGCAGGTCACCATGTAAACTGCGTTTTCCTAGACGCATCAGCAGCGTATGACAATGTTCATCACGGCATCTTGATGGCTAGGCTCGGATCTCTAGACCCACCAGCTCGATCAACTCCGTGGATCATTCTTTCATCCGTGGACGAAACCGCCTTCAGCAGCAGGACGGACTCAGTCTTCCAGTTGCAAGAACAAACGCTGGCAAGTCGAGGAACGCCTTCAACGCTACAGGTAAATGGAACAGATTACCTGGAGACGTCCGCTACAGCACAACGCTGGAGACCTTCAAAGCTGCAGCAGTACCCTACGCAATTGCTCGTTGACTACATGCAACAGTAGCAAATGCCATGTTTGACAATGGATCCGATTTCCAGCTGACTATCATTTCCAGTGCATACACACTTTTTTCTTTCCTTTTTTTCTCTCTCTCTCTCTCTCTTTTTTTTCTTCCCTCTTAAGATCTTCGCTACCTTGTCATTGGGAAGAAATTCCCGTTTGGATTTTGCGAAGTAAAACAAAGTTCAAAAAAAATCGTAGACATGAAGTGGGGTACAACAGTCAGCAACTAGAGAACAGTACATCACGGCGTGCCAAAAGGGCATCAATTTCGCCCCATGCTGTGGTCGGTGTACAATGCTTTGATTTTTGACAATCTGTCTCTTCCAAGTCTATCACATCAGGTGGACGTCATGCCGTTCATGTATGCAGATGACATCGCCCTCGCTGTGTCAAGCAAAAATGTGTCGGCTATGCAATCCACTATGCAAGAATTTCTGGACCACGTTCCTGACTTCTGTCGTCGGAGCTGCATTACACCTAACTCGTCAAAATCAGTGCAAGTTGTTATTTCAACATCTTCTCGAGTTCAAGACTTGTCTCTGCAGCAGTTCCTCAACAGCGCTGCCATAGTGATGGTAACATCATTTCCCTCCAAACCGTTTCCTGGGGATTGTTGTGAATGCCACCATGAACTTTCTGAGCAATGTTTAGCTGCTCGCCAACATACCCAACAGCGTCCGCGAATCATCCAGGTCATGACTGGCTGCGAGTGGGGCTTGGACCAACAATCAACGATGCGCTTCATCAACCAGTATGTCCTATCATCTGGGTTATATGGTACGGCTGCATATTATGGCCTCACAACGAACAGTGGAAAACAACTGTTGGAGACAGCCTACAACCAGTGCCTGCGTGTCGCTACACGATGTGTGCCTTCTACACCACTGACCAAGCTCTACGAGGTTGCAGGTGCCCTGTCCTTGTGAACAAAGATCACACGCCAGGCTGCGAGTCTGGCTAATATTTCTCATCGTCACAACACTCCAACCCCTGCTCGCACCGTGCTCTCCAATCAGGGCCCCCAGCGCATACGCCATAACAAGACCACTTGGCAACAGTTAGCCCAGGAAACTGTACCTACTCAGCAGTTACTCCCGATGCTCACTATGGGAACCGGATCGATGCATGCCAAAGGAGCACTGGGATACACGATGTCCTATCTAGGATATCTCCAAGACTAGTGACCAAGATGAATCCCACGGAAATCACCTCATGTATGTGCAGTTCGTGTATCTACCAGTACATGTACATGTATACTAATCAAGTACATGCATTGAGTATTTATTAGGTACACATAAAACTAACCTTGCAGAGCTGCTGGTGACGCCATTGCCAATCATGAGACTAATGCCAGTTACTTCAGGCTTCAGTTTCGCCGTGCACCTTTCCAGTGTTTCCATGTGAGTGGGGATCCGAGCGGCATGGGGCAGGATGTGCTTTCTGAGATCAAGCTGCTTTTCCGCTGTCCAATCTGCACCCAAGTCACGTACGACAGGCTTGCTTGTGAGAGCTTGCTCCATTCTTTCCACACTGTTCTTCAGATGGGTTAAAAGCCCACGGCTCGCCATGTCTGCGTCTTCTCACCCCCTACAATATACAACAATGTGGTTCACATTCTCATTGAAATATTAATGGAAAAATTAATAGGATTTCTTGAATTCTCTCATAGTCATACAACATGTAGATCATGAGCTAGATCGATCGAGCGAGAGTTTGAACGAAAAAATAATATTGAAAATGCATCAAATCGATAATTACAAAAAAAAACTTGCCCACGGCCGCGCACGTGCACGCCACCGCGCCGTTCGCATGGTAATCAATTTCTTACGTCATATAAAATGGCGTCAACTCACTTATCGACAAAAGCGACGTGTCAGGGATCGATCGGCAAAATCATGTGGTGCAGCGGTGGAATCAGGCTCACAGACATACAGTGCAGTAGGTCTTCTGGTCTTTGTTGAGAGAGAAAGAGGACGAGAGAGAGATTGATTTCTCAGCTTGAAATTGATTTTAGAACAGCTTACTCGAAGGATAATATTTGACTTCATCTTAGTGTAGTAAGCGGATAAGCAGACCAAAGGAGACAATAATCATGGTAAGTATGCCACACTAGTTCGGTTTACCAAATGAACAGGGACTGAAATGTTCATATCAATGTTGTATGGAACAGCCTGCTCCTTCCTCAGCAACCTCAGTGGGCTCTGGTGGCCGTGCTCCATCCAGCGGAGCTTCACCCAGATCAGCAGGCACAGTTAGGCGGTAAGATCGTGGTTTCTTGTGAATTTTTTAAGCATACCCAGTTCACTTTGAGAACGATACTTGCACGTTCAGGACTTTCTGGACTCTGTCAATTGATAGCGGTACATTTAGTCAGATTAGGACTTTGCTATTGATGCGTTAGTATACTATGAACCGTATCCGATCGTACTAACTTGGCTAGTGTGAACTGTACGATTGAGCCGATGACTTTGTGTAAGCGACACACTCATCATACATTATAGTTAAACAAAATAGTTACGAACAATGGACAGGATGCAATTAATTGTTTTTGGTATGCAGCATTACTTTAACCTAACTTGAGGAAAACGTTTTTGTTCCATGGGCCTTTGTCGTAGTGTAAATATGTGAGAGATCTGTCTGAAGACTTAGCAACTTACTTCACGCCTGCACCTGACTCTTGCGCTATGATACGCGTCGCCCATCAGGGGCGTAGCACCCGCTACGACTGGTACGACCATGGCCGTACCACTTTTCGAAAAGTGTGGTCCGTCCGGAACGTGCAAAACCGTAATAAAAAAATCAGGATCCATCCAGATGCATATGCGCACATATGTGATATGACCTTTTTCTAGACTCGTAGATCTGTTATGCATCTGCAGTCGTACTGAGTACTGACACAGTACTTGACTGCACAGTCAGCGTGCCAGAAGTTCCCAGAACGCAGGATTTTGTGTCTTTTTTACAAAAAAAATCCGCGGACCCCCCTCCCAACAGGGCCTTCGGCCGCGCCGACCTTCGGTCGTACCACTTCCAAAACCCCTCCTACGCCCCTGCCCATGATACCCCTCAGAATTTCCCGCCTTGCTCCCCCTTATGTTCTGGCTGCCCGTTTTGGATCCATCAGTTGCCTGATGATCGTAGTAACACGTGAAACTCAGAGTTGTAACAAAGCTTCCAATCTCTCTCTTGTGTACGTGAGAGATCTCAATTCTTGTGTTAACTTTTGACAGAAGTGGCAAGTAAATCAGGCTGTAGTGTGAGATCTATGTAGCTGTGCTGCATAGACTACTGCAAGTATGTGGTTGCAGTGTACCAGGAAGAAGCATGTGTGTGTGTGGGCGGGGGGGGGGGGGGGGGGGGGGGCTATTGCTGTGTGCACCTCTGTCATTAGAGAGGTTCCGCACTATGTAATTACGTTAAAAAACCGTAGTCGATCTACGGAAGTCTTTACGTATGCTGCATTCTGATCCGTGTTCCGCCACACGGAGTTTTCGAACCAACTAGCTGCCCATGGCAACTCTGGACGCGAAATTTTGCGATCCACAGAGAGAGTCATAACTTCATCCCCCAATCCACTTACGGAGCACCTCTGTTAGTGGACCCCCACATACCTACTATACGTAGACAACTTTCCGTAAGTGGAGTGCAAACTCGCGAATTCACGGGTTTTCCCCGGTCACGTATGTAATGTTGCTTACCTTTACGTAGTGCGGAACCTCTCTAATGTCTAGTTTTTAGTGGTGAAACGAATATTCGAACATTCGTTCGGTTTGTCACATTCGAATATTCTTTAAGTCACATTCGAGTATTCGTTACGTCACTTCGAATGCAGTGCATGTATATACAAGCACGCCGAACACAGTGCAGTGTGTACAGCCTGCCTGTGACTTTGTACTGCATGTTTGCACATGTATGTGCATACTGGACTGCCAATGGTGCACATAACATGTATGAACTTCGAAGTAGTCTTATGTGGCACTACCGTTTGTCATACCTAATAGTAATGATAATATCCATCAAATGACTGAGAGGAGGGCATGTGATGGCATCTCTGTTACCAAAAGAAATTAAAGAATATTTGTACGTTCGTTCGATAAGCCAAAGAATATTCGGTTACTAGGTTTTGACATTCGTTTCACCACTACTAGTTTTAATGCTGCTTGATGGCTCACAAGTCGAGAGTTGTATGAGAAGATCCTACTGTGTTTGTAAGTCTTCGCAGACAACAGTTCCACTGAACTGCCAGTACATGAACATATCCAGCCCTCTCTTCTTCAGTAGCACCCTTATTGAGTTGGCCTTTGGCCCCTGGATTGAACTTGATAACATCATAGTACTGGTAACACGGATGTACAAACTTTACTTTACAGTATAACACTGCAACAAATTGCCAACAACACGCACTAGCTGCTCCTAGTCCTTCTAGACTCGAGAAAGGTGTTAGATGGAGTCATCTATGTTACTTATTACCAAGAGTCCATAATGGACTCTTGTTATTACCTTAATGTTTGTTTATTCAGGAGAACCACAGCGAGCTCCAGCGGCTCTTCACCTCGCGCACCCCAGCAGAACTCCGCTGGCATGTGGCGATTCTACACAGAAGATTCTCCCGGCATAAAAATGTAAGTTAGTAGAGCTCCCCGTTTCTACTACAGTTGCACTCACTGAAATCCGACCCAATGTGCAAAGCTGGCACCCTCAACTTGCACGGCCCTTGACGCCCTGGTAGTGGAATGAATGCGGCTGGACGTACACATGTACATCCACAATGATGAAATCGGAACTGGTCCAGGGCGCCAGCTTTGCACTTCGGGTCGGATTTCAGTGAGCACAACTGTAGTATAGTCTACCATGACTGTGTAGACTTCTTGCCTTGCTTTTTTTCCACTGAAAGAAGACCATTGGTCTTCGATATACCGGTGCATAGTATCTCTTTGGGGGTTGCCGTTCATCTACTGTAGCGGACATGGAAATCCAGTCGATTGACCGGGGCCGACGCCCTCAGCGCGTACAGAACGCTGCGTACAGTGCACTTGTTGATCCGATGCGACCAGCGCGCTGCAGCCCATGAATGTATGTGTGTACCGCTTATCCACGGCTGCAAGGTCAGCGCCCTGGGGCCGCTAGACGTGCGACCGGATTTCCATGTCCACGACAGTACTTAGGGTGCAGGATGCTCATCAGTACTTCGTCTGTAAACAAAATTTTCATGATGGATTTTCGAGAAGCTGCTTTACGCATATAACGTTACCGCCATGGAAAGAGTCGCGATTACTTCCACTGCCATCACAGACATACCATGAAAGAGATAAGATGCAAGGAAAGCGATTTTTCACAACAAACCGAGCGGAATCGATGGTTGCGCTGTGGCGACATAGCTGATGACAGGCATGACGAACGAAACAGAAATACCACTTCTCCGAGGACATGAGGCGCTGCTTGGCCTCTCTTGCTCTCAGTTTGAGAGCGATGGAAAGAAGCAGCGAGACCAGACAATGAGCGAGTGAACACACGGCTGTTCCGATCGCGCCACAAAATGAAAAGATTCCAATTTTTCTATGTCAACCTGTGCAATAAGAAGAACCAGTTCTTGTTCAACCTGCGCAAATAAAAGAATGAACACACAGACTTGAACGTTGACGACCCTGCATTCTTTAGAAATCTGCAGTCCGATGTGAGCCTCGTGGCTCAGGAAAGTCGATGGGAATTGCTAGCCGCTGCGGTTGGCTCACCTGCCAGTAGATGCTTTTTAATTGAAGGTAGTAGCTTCTGCTTCCACCATTCTTCAAAGTGCTTCGCGTTCATTTCATCATGATAATCACGAGATTTGGTGTTTCCCACAAACACCAACTCACACCCTGGTAGAAAACCACCTTTCCAACCAGCGTACGGGATTATCAGACGCTTGCCCTTCCCAGAAGGAGCTTCATGGGGTTGCTTGTCACCTGGTGCACCTTTTAGACACCTACAGTAATTTGAAATTGTACACCACACAATGTTCTCTCAGTAGCATTTTAATACGTGTAGTAACTTCAAGGCCACCATTTCCTAGAAACAGTATGATTGGTATTGATCCAGGTCCGTCCAGGTAAACAATTGGTCTGCCTCCCCGACGAATTTCCCTGATGCGACACAGAAAGTGACGACGCCAAGCAACAATATCAGTCCGCTCCATCATTAACTGGGTGTTCCCCTTTGTCTGCACATAGTGAAAGCCAATCGACTTCAGACCTCTCCAGAATGTTGTCCATGACATTTTTGGAAAGTTGTCGGCTTCTTCCTTGCACAGAGCAACAACTTTGTCCACAGTGGGGTGATCTCGCTTGGAGTAAAAACCCATGGACTTTCCCCCGGATGACGCTCCTCGTGTACTAGCCCACAACGACTTTAGACGACCACGAGTTTTATCTTGCTTCTTACCAGATACGTGGCGACGAAGATTGTGGGCAGTCGACGTTGCAATCTTGCCCACCATGGCTGTTCGGACGGCCAGCGACTTTGCAGCACCACGATCACGACGACCACCTGACTGAAAGAAGGCGTAGACATTGCAAACTATCGACTCTCTCCCTCTCCAAGACGAGGCATGGCAGAAGATAATCGAACAATCACAATGTGTATCTAATAAATGAAACGGGAGAAAGTGCACAAAGTGGCTTGCTCGTTCTATGCAAACTCCCGTGGCGCGGATTTTCGTACTTGCCGCGCAATATTTCTTCGATCTCAGAGCGAGTTTTTCTGGCGGCTCCTGCTGTAGAACCGTAAACTCGGCGCACTCTCCCCGGGGTTGCTTTTCTTTTTGAAACGCTCTGTAAGTTTTATAGCTTTTCAAGTTATTGTCTCGCAGGGAACTTTTACGTATTTGAAGTTGAGATAGCTGTGCCTGTACTCCTCCTTTCGCGGAATACTGGAAAGCGATGGAAACTAAGGAATCATAAAATATATTTTACGTCTCTGTGGTGGAACGAGTATTACGCCACTTGAAGGCCAACAGCGACAACATTACCAAAGTTCAGCAGAGTGTAGTCAAAGAAGCCAAGGAAAGGCTGACAAAGCTGAAAATGGACTCGAGAGAGAGAGATAGCTACTCAAATGCAGCAGACGACGACAGCAGCTCGGAATAAAGCTGAGTCGAGCTAAAGCAACACAGAACAAACTCTCTGCTCATGCCGCCAACAGTTCCTCTTGTATAGATACTTTACATAAGCTGAGCTGCCTTCGTCGAGTGATTTCCAGTCCATCAAACTGTTCTTGACCTGTTCCAAGCGTTTTCATGTCCATCAAAATCCTATCCATCGCGAAGTTTTTGTTTACAGAGGAAGTACTTGGTCCGCGTCAGCGATATTGTCGCTTATCTTTCAGCTTTGTTTATTATGTCGCCATTGCTCACTTGGCAGCCCATTTCATCCCAATTTTGGTTAGTATGTTAGTTTACTAGTACCTGAAAGGTCTAGCTAGATTTCGAGTGGATTTCGAGAGCGACGGGTGGGTGATTTTGATTGATACAGCGCCGCATCAAAATAGATGATCTTGTTACGCTGTGCAGGCAAGAGCAGTGCAAGCCACAAGAAAGTAATCGGCTACTCGGAATCAGCTCCATTTTGCTGAACGGCCGAGATCGCTCACCTCGGGGATCGCTCGTCAAGCTGAGATCGCAGCTCCCTTACCCCCATCTCAACACCCGGAGTATCCAGCGCGACAAGGAGATTTGCAAGTACTGTACGCGTCGTCGTTCAAAATAAAATATTGCAACTTGAAGACCGGCGTCTGATTAGAACCACACAGGATGTCGTGCTGCCCAAGCAGAATCCTATAGAGAAGGCGACCGTCACGATCGACTTCTCTTTAGAAAATAGCCAGGCAGCGGAGAGGAAGAGAGATGAGCTTGCAAAAGCAAGAGAGACGATCCCAAGCAAAAATATTTGTCACCAGGGCCAAGAGCAGCGACGAGGAGGACCTAAAAAAGTATGAACCCTTCCTTGGACAATAAATTCCTCATAGCTAGTTGTCATTCTATACCTTACCTTCCATCGTACCAAGTTTTATCACTTCAAGTTCGCACGTTGATGTCCAAAGTCAAAGTTCAAATTGTCGAAAGATAAGCGACAATATAGCTGACGCGGACCAAGTAGCTTATACGACTTTATTGGAGCAGAGTGCGGTTACGTTCTGTTGTTGTGCTCGATGATAGGTCATGTGTTTTGTTTCCTCCTTTTTGTGGTGTTCCTGCTACAGTGGCCCAGTTCCCGTCCTGGTCATGAGCCTTCTCTTCATCGCATCCGTCTTCCTGCTCCATATCTGGGGCAAATACAGCCGATAGATAGTAATTTTCTCTAGGAATCAAACTTCATACCCTCCTCATGTCCATGTAAATACCAACCCGTGGCCTTCTTCTGTAAAGCGGTTGCTGTTTTTTTGTTTTGTTTTTTTATTTTATATTATTGCTGTTAGATATCTCATCATTTCTTCATTCATACCTACTTTATTTCAAGGATTCTCGAAAAGTAAATGGATACTTTATCAGGGGAGTTTCTTGAAAGGATGGACGGGATGAAGGGAAGTGAAAGAAGCCTCTCAGCCGGGTCATTACATACCAAGAGTACATACCCCCCCCCCCCCCCCCCCCCCCCAGATCAGAGTGTGCAATGCCTGATCCAGCTCTGCATAGGGTCTTGGTCGAGCGTAATCGGATCTTCTGATGTCATGCGTACACTCCATACCAGCTCGAGGCAGGGCACCATTGTTTTTGATCCGAGAGTACCTGCGGCAGATGTGTACGGTATTATGACGCAAAGATCCAATTATGCTCGACCAAGACCCTATGCAGAGCTGGATCAGGCGTTGCACACTCTGGGCCGGGGGGTTATGTACTCTTGGTCATACATGTAGTTGTAGTATGATGTAAATGTACGAGTACCGATCAGGCGTCAAACGTCGAGACTTTTGATGGTATTTGACGAGTCGCTGGTACCAAGAATACTCTTGCTGGTACTGATGCAATTTTAAAATTTACTGTGACATTGGAAGCTCGAAGAACCAGGCGCAGAGCCAGGGTGGACGGTGACCATGGGGACTACGAGTGCGAGTACCAATCAACTACTGGGAGGAATTCGCGGGATTATTTGCAGAAAATTGCGGATTTGGGCCAAATCACGAAATTTGTTGCATCTGTAGAATCGCCATTAGTCTGTAGATCTACAGGGAGTTGTCAAATATGGTAAAAGTGGAGAAAACCGCGGGTTTGGGCCAAAATCTCGAAATTATTTGTCTACCAATCAGTATACTGTTTGTCACCAGGCCAGGCAGGGAGTAGTAAAATACCGGTATTTTACTATTCCCTGGAGTGGAGGTTGTACACTCTACTGTCTCTAGTCTAGATCTAGCTCTACGCAGATCTGCATTCTGCAGACCGCAGTTGAACAGTTTCCTCAACTTTCGTTTGTACGGTGGTTGCATTTCTGTTGAAGCTTGAATTGTTGTCCTCTCAGATATCTTGTTTCACATTTGAGTTTCGGACAGTGTTTCACATTTGAGTTTCGGAAAGTGCTGGCCACTTGTGAAAGTGGACCAATGTCGCTGTTACGGGATTACGAGCAGCAGTTCGGTGTTCTCACCGCCGATGCCGTCACTAAAATAAACAACATCCCAAACCTTTCTGGGAAACAGAGGAAGAATGCCATCACCGATGTTGAAAGGATCTTTGAGGAGGGAAATGATCTGCTTGAGCAGCTGGACCTTGAAGCCAGGGAAGTGCCGTCCTCAGAACGACAAGCAGCCAGTGCTAGGGTTCGCGGTTATCATGAGGAAATGACGCGACTCCAGAAGGACCTGAGGCGTGCCCAGGTAGCAGCAGTGGACATGAGGCAGGGTCGAGAAGAGCTACTGGGAAACGAAGATATGCAGTCCTCTGAAGATCAACGCACTAGGCTTCTAGAGAACACAGAGCGCCTGCAGAAAACCAGCAATCGTTTGGACGAGGGCTATCGAATGGCACTGGAGAGCGAGGAGCTGGGTCGTGACATTATGGACAACTTGCATAGGGACAGGGAAACCATCACAAGGGCTAGGGACAGGCTACGCGGTGTGGACCAAGACTTGGGACGTAGCAACCGTACGCTCAACGGAATGATTCGACGAGTTTATCAGAACCGTGTCATAGTAGCCTTCGTCTGCGTGCTGATGGTCGGGGTGATTGTCATGGGAATCTACTTTGCCGTCAAGTAAGTTGAGAATGCCGCCCTGCCCCCCCCCCCCCCCCTCCCCCTTACCCCTGCTCCCCTGCATACAGACACGCACATGCGTGTACGTGCACGCATGAACATGCATTTTAATTTTTTACTCATTTATTTTATACCTTTATGTATCGATTGACCTTCATAAAAAAAATACCCATGCTAACTAGTGACCACGCCATCCACTGTATCAAATTCAAATAAATTGGCTTTGATTCAATAAATACTCCAAAGCCAATAAAACGCTGTTTATAAAATACTCCTTTTTAGGGAAAATGGAGGTCAATATATGCATCATAAATGTAGTAGCCTCAGGATTTACAGCAATTACAAACCAGTTATAAAAACCTCGGCACTGCCTCGCTTTTTATACAAGGATGTAATTGCAATAAATCCTTAGACTCTGCATTTATTGCATACGCAGTCTGCACTTCATGGCATATAATGAACTACAGGGCATGCACGAGCACTACCTATATCTGAAAACAGGTACTAGTAGCTCGCAATGCGTAACGATCGTACCGATTTATAGCAATTTTCCATTGACAAATTCACGAAATTCTGCTTCTTCTTTCCAGCTCTATATCTGCCTGACACTTGACAGGCTCAATTGACCTGTTGTTATCTTGTTCTCTTTCTGCCATGCATGCCAGCATCTGCACCGACAATAGCTGTAGTGTGTGGGTTCACTCTGTCTCATTTGGCTTTTTGACTCGTACATGTCTGGGTATCGGGGAGCAATGTCCACTGCTGTTTACAAGTGAAGTGCTACCGCACGTACGGGCATGCGACTGGATTCATAGATTTCATAGATGGCCAAGCCAAATGGATATGTTGAAAAATCATCTTTTCTGATGAAAATCTCGAGTAGCAAACAAACAAAGTCACTGCTGAAGTTCATTCTGCTATGCTGCAGCACATCACTGTGGCGTTCAGCATCCAATGTAGACATTGCTGGTACATGTACTTTGCCCACACGTCCTCGTGTCTTGTCAACCCCATTGCAAGTACATGTTCTTATTGTTTGTCATATATTTCTACACAGAGCCCGGACTGTGTTTTGTAGCAGAAAAAGGAAACATGATACCAAAGTTTGTAAAAACAGGTCATTTGTTAACGCTTACCTGCTTATTTATTCGGCAACGGTAAAATATAAATAGAGGGGGGGGGGGTGGCAACAGCAAGAGAAACACTAAAAATGATCACCAAAATATGATCACTAATCAAGAGGCAAGAAGGGATCCTGTGGATGTTGTGAGAAGCCTAGGGCAGGGCCGTCGGAACCGGTTGTGACCGGACCAACTCTGGCTCAGGTCACCCCCTGGGATTCGGCTAAAACCAGGGAGAAAAAATTCTGCGTACATGTACCGTAAAGTACCGTTGATCCGCCCCCTCTCTAATTCCCGCCCCCTGTCAATTTTCTCCTTGTGAAGCGACTTCGGCGTATACAACGAAATACGATGTTGAACCGACGCATGCACTGCTGTACACAATACTTGCCAATCCAGGATGAAAATGTGCACAATTCAGCACATTGAGTCTGATCCTCTACGTTGTTGTACATTGCACTGCACTTGACAGCCTTGATCTAATTCCCGCCCCCTCCCGAAACCCAACTGGGAAGCGACATGGCGTGGGGGCGGATCAACGGTACTTTACGGTACATGTACATGACATTGTATTATTGATCATGCATACATATGTACGTGCACCCAAAGTAGGCCATACATTGATATCCATGCAAAATTATTCCCTGTAGTTGGCTCTGAAAACTAAAGGGCCAAATTCTGTTGTATACTTTGTTTATACAAAAGAAAAGGACCAAGGAACTACAAGTTACGCTATAATGTCCACTAATGTCCACTTGGTCCTTTTCTTTTGTATAAATTAATCCTTGGCTCTCCATCCGAGTCCATATACAGTGTAGTATCAGTTTCCTCGGAGACAAGAATGCAACAATACTAAGGAGAAAAACACACACTTCAGGCTCTTTGTCGACATCCTGAGAGTTTACACGAGTATACTTTTCAAGCCTTCTCGTCAGGTGAAATACTGTACAGGCAAAGGCAATATCAAGAATCCGTAAACATGGGCCAGATTCGCGGCACACTACCTTCACACAGCTGCAGTCCGCGTACTGCGGAAATCAAACACCACACTTTCCCTCTGGTTTAAATGAACTTTCGCACGGAAATGAAGTTCACATGCACCCAAAATTTAGAGACCACACCGTTACTCGACAGAATTGAGCCAAAACGAATGTGCTAGTACGAGAGATTGTGGGTTTGAGTGCATGCGTCCAGAGCGTGGTGGAGGTAAGTCAGGTAATGAAGGCAGTGCGCTGAGTACTGCCACCCATACCACAGTTAAAATCAGGGGGGAGGGGGGGGGGGGTGTAGATACGGTGTTTACTACTCCCTGGTTGAAGTACTCTTGTTTATGGACTTTTGCTAGCATATGCCAGTTATTTTGTTTATCCAAAGGCAGTGCTGCACGCAACGCATCACACGCACACATGCGCATGCACACATCTTCCGAAGTCTCCGAATAAACTCACTTGGAAGCGGGAAGCCGTAGGAGATCAATAATGATGCAACGCTGGTACTCCAGTTCGTGGCTACATAGTGTGGGCAGCGCGTTGCGCTAGACCCCGTGCATGCAGGAGTCGCATACTCTTGGGGTTACGTTACGGACTCTTGGTACACAATCAAGAGTACATAACTCCCTGGCCCAGTGGGGATTATGTAGTCTTGATACATGCACAATGTAATGTAGGGCTGAAACGATTATACCAATTACTCGATAAGCGATCGATAATTCCTTTTCAATCAAGTAATCTTTACGTTATGGATTACTTGTTAGGGATGTTGAGTCCAAAAAGTACTGAAAACCCTCGTTTCGTGAAGTTTGAATCAGTTTCCACTGTGAGTATGCAGTTGCCAGGGGCATTGTGCACATTCTGAGGTTAAATTGACTTCAAAACTACCATGTTTCAGAGCTGCCCTGTCACTAATGCAGATTTTTGTATTATGAAGGCCTATCTTTTGGAAACAGAGTAATTTTTGCACAAAATTCTGACACTATTTGGTAAAGATTATTCGATCGCTAAGCTAAAGAGTAATCGATAGGTGAAAATCCACGATCGTTTCAGCCCTAATGTAATGTGATCCGTTAAAATGCGGATCTAGGAAAATATAGAATCAAGTCTCATAATTTGTCTGAGAAAGGTGTAAAATATAGAGGACTCATTGTTGCTAAAATCTGGGAAGTATACAAAGACTTGGCGCCACCACTATCGTTTACCTGTAGTCAAAGAGGGTAAAGTCCTGCTCATAACGCATGTTCAGCTGTTGGTGGTCAGCTGCACCAAGAGTATTCATCATAGCAATAGCATCTCTATGTGCGAAGGGTGGAGATCGGTAGAGCAGCGTCTGACTGGGATACTCCACAGTTGCAGGTACTCCAAGATGCTGGAGAAGAGCGTTGGCACTCTCCGGCAGATCTTCAAATCGACCCACAAAGTCGTAACCGACAGTGCACGGTTGACACAGTTGATATGCAGGCATCCAGTGCTCATTCATCCTATCAACTCTTGCGTGAATCAGGTATCGCACAAATGCAGCAAAGCTGATATTCTGGTGCTCAAATTCCGGATCCTTCGTTAGGTGCCATTCTTCTGCATCCTGGAATTTCCCACTCTTCCACAGCTGCTGAATAACTGGTCCAAATTTCGTCTTGAACGGACGCGACTCCGGGAAATTGGTGAACTTGTGGGAATACACCGCAGCAATGCGGTCTGCAGGATGGCGCACGAACATGAATCTGTGAGAGATGCACAGAAGACGCACACGCACACAAGAATCTGTGAGAGATGCACAGAAGACGCACAAACATGAACTTGCGTGCGAGAGATGCACAGAATACGCACAAACGCGAACCTGCGTGTGAGAGATGCACAGAAGACGGCAGACAGGTAAGCAGACACAAAACCTCAATCATCATGGAACAACATCATCGGAGCTTCCCCTGGGTTCTTAGACTTACAGAGGCAAGCAACATAATTATGGTAACTATAGAACATTTCCCCTGTGAATGAACACGGCCGATGTGCATTATGATATACACCGGCAGTAACTTAACATGCCATTCAATATACAGTAGGTATCGGTTATAGCGTGGGTGTTTGAAAAACGACTTTCTATTCTTATTTCCGATATTTCTTGCACACGATAAATCAAGTGTGGCATATTACATGCATGTGCGCAGGGGCAGGAAGATCATCGTACATGCAACGCCGCAGTATTTCTGCGCATGTGGTTGGTCATAGTCCCATACTGGGCCATAGGCTTACCATGTGGCTATGCAAAATGAGTTACATGATCACAACAGTTGAATCTGCAGCACTACGACGCAACGAGAGTCAGATCAGAACGGAATTGGACAGATGCTATTACTACAGGCGATACGCTTTGTACTAATCTGGCATGTTTCGCTACACAAAGTCCATTCTTAGGACCGATAATATTCTACTATAGGATAAAATTGCTTGTAAGAATAAATATGCACTTGAAATCCATGTTATGATTATGAAAACATAAGAGTTCATTCTTGTAGGCAGTATATTCTTTTACACGACCACGCTATAACCGATACGCACTGTACTCATAGCAGAAGTATCTATCCCCTGCTACTCCGCACCCGCCGTTTTCATAATTATACCCAGCAAGATACACAAGGAAAACACCCGAGGTAAATCAATAATATTATTATCATTTGCATTCCGGCGGCTGCGTCAGCCAAGCAAGTGTCAAAGACACTTGCTCAGCCCACACATTCGCGTATGCTGGACATAGGACTAAGGTACTTGAGTAGTACAAAACAAAACAGAACAAAGGGACAGTTCAGCCAGATTACCATCGAATAAGAGCAATTGAATGCACTTTACTCACTTGAAGTAGGACTGTAGTCGACGCATCGCTTTGTCAAGGGGAAGATTGTGCATATAACGGAGAGTCGCACCGGTGGCCATGGAGGATAGGTTCTTGAAGTGTGCTGATGGAACCTTTCCATCAGTTCCCAGCGACAGCATCACTCTCTTCCAGCTAGATGAACCTATACCAGCACGCCATGAAACACAAACGGTCTGGGACTGCAAGATGCCAAGTTCCGGATGAGGCACGGAAGTCGAGTACCCGGTAGACATACTGCAGCTATTCAGACTAACTGTTAGAATATCCTTGCACCCAGATGGGCCTTCAAATTTGCTCGGAATACTGGTGACATGGGCAGGCGTGCAGCTATTCGGACTGTTAGAATACCCTTGCACCCAGATGGGCCTTCAAATTTGCTCGAAATACATGGGCAGGCGTATTGTATACGCTTGTGGCCGGCAGACCTTGCATCGGCACAAACAGCTTGTGATCTGGCACACGGCCTTTCGTCACGGTGCGTGTACCCGATCTATGCTACAAGTAGTAGTATGGGGTTCTAAACAGTCCCAGTTGACACGTCATCCTTTAAAACTAGCCTTAGGTTTGAAACAAAAGGAGCAGTTACTATAGCCGTCCACAAGGGCAGTGCACACACAACACAATAGAAAAGCGTGATCAAGAACGTTGAAGTGACTTAAAAGTCAGCAAAGGCGAGAAACAGAGGTTACTGATTTAGTACCATGGCATAATACATGTAATAGCTAGAAAGAGTTGCGGAAAACATCATTCCTGCAAGGACAATGTCATTCTTACCTGATTTAGGTACACTGCAGAACACAATCTTGTGCTTGTCATCGTAAATTAAGTGTCTCAGTAGCGTCTTCATTTGCCAGGGTGGAAGTTCTTCGAGTGGCACAGATCCAAGGCAGTTCCTTTGGACAGTTTTTTGCAGGTTGAACTCCTCATACGCCTGCGAGCATACCATTGCAGACAGGAGTCCAATTAAGGAAGGGTCTGGGAAATCAAGCTTGTTTTCAATGTCACCATTCAGGGTGCTGAGTCGAATGGTCTTTGTCCGAGGATGCTGAGACGCTCCCTTCCTCCTTTATTCCCAATCGAACTCGCCACTCCCACTGAAACTGGGTGACTGCGCCCTCAGACTATATTGGGGTTTGTATGCAAAATGTCACTAAAAGCGCCATTTTGTTCTTACCGTATTTCCGCACATATATAGCCATGGTGTTATATTTAAAGGTGAGTTCAATTCTTTCAGGTTACGTTTGGTTGGTCACATTCCCAAATGGGAATCACTTGGAATCACTCGGAATCATTCTCGCCCGTTTGGTTGGTCAAAAAAGTGCGTTAGGTTGGTCACATTCCACATGATTCCAGAATGGGAATCGCTGAGAATGATTCTTTTTGGAGAATGATCATTCCACCTCATATGCTGGAATGAGCATTCTCATTCCGGAATCAAAAATGATAATGGCTGCCACGAGCCAAACAATGTAGCAACAGGTTCAAGTGCCTCAAATCATGCACTCAGAAGTACCATGACTCTCTCAAGGAAACTAGAGTCGGGTAAAAGAAAAGACAGCCGCCGTTCCACAACGACATCATGGAATTGTTATGTCAAGTGATTCCTAATTGATTCTGGCGCGTTAGTTTGGTCAGGTGATTCTTGCCGATTCCCATTCCAGAATGGTTGTCATTTACATTCTGAAAATGCCCAACCAAACGCAACCTCAGTGAACCTACAGTAGCGGTGATTCTCTCTGCATGTACCCATCTCCACTGTCACATGCCATACCGCCACCGCACCTTCACACAAGTTTGTATGCCACCTTGTACACAATAGGTTCACAATTTGAAATTTTCAGGGAAAATTGAAAGTACATGGATGCTCGACATGAACGTGCAACGGTACCGTAAGAGTACTCGAAGTTCATACTCTGCATGTACGCGTCTCTCACTTTTAGCGCCATGGCGTTAAAACCGAGGCGATTTTCTCCAAAATTTGGTCCAAAACAGGGATGTTTTACCTATAATGCCATGGCTTTATATGCGTGGAAATACAGTAAAAATCACAGATGAACACGATTGGCCAATATGTTGTACGGTCAGACCTCGCTTAACCGCACACATCCGTTTTCCACAAAAATATCCGGATAGGCGAGGGAACCGGATAACTGAACACACATACTGTACATGCATGTGGCACATCAAAATGGGCGGCATCGTACATACATGACTCTGGGTCCTATACAGAACAACTAGCGTGCAAAATATGTATAAAAAAACAAGCGAGAAAAGTGACAAGTACATTCAACTGAGTGCTATCCACATGCATGCAGCAGGTCAAGGACCTCATTTGTTTGTACAACTCCCTGATTCTAGCTTCTGCAAGCCACGTGCAACCGGATGGAACGAAGCTTTTTGTACATATTTCGACCAGTTTGTACACAAAATCATGCACCGGTATGCGGATCGCGAGGTTCGGTTATGTTGTATGCGTAACGTATGATGCACATCGGTAACCAGCGATTTTCTTCCGGATAGCGAGGGATCCGGATAAACGAGGACCGGATAAGCGCGGTCTGACTGCAGTCTTTTTGAACGCTGAGTCGACTGGTTTTGGTCCGAGAGGGCTGCGCTGCAGTGTTCAGCCCTTATTCCCAATTGAGCACGATTGAGTAAGCGATCATGCGCTGATGCATACATCAGTGACCTGGTCACCGTGCCCGCTGGCTACAACTTACTAGCCTGTTTGGGCGCGTTCCTGTCTCTCGAGTTGAACCTTGATGTGAAAGTTGTAGCCTGCAGGCACGGTGACCAGGTGACTGGTGTGCGCATGAGCAGGTGACCGCTTACTCAACCGTGTTCGATTGGGAATAAGGGCTGAACGCTGCATCGCAGGCTTCTCGGTCGACTCAGCGTCCAAAAGCCGGACAAGTTTGACATATGGGCCAATCACGTTCATCCGTGCATTGATAAGAACGAAATGGCGCTTATAGTGACATTTTGCATACAAATCCCCATCTAATAGGGTCCAGTCCCCCAGTTTCGTTGGAAGTGGCGAGTTCGATTGGGAATAAAGGAGGAAGAGAGCATCTCGGCTTCCTCGGACTAAGCCCATTCGACTCAGCATCCCGAAGACTACAACTGGTGAAAATGTGACTTCAGGCTATACTTCCCCTGAAAACCAATCTCAGTAGGAACAGGCAGTAAGAACTTGAGCAGCGGCACTGCTTGGCCCAAGTTTTACAGCTTACGAAAACCACTGCCTTATATCAGACATTTCACATCGCAGCCGCATAACAAAACCGATGATCCCATAGATGGGGCGTTGGACTGAGACACTTGATCTCGTACATGCCACATTTGCAAGCTCAGCACATGTCACATGATCAACAAAGAGGAAACTGAACTATTCCACATACATAGTCAGTGTTGGGTGGGCGCTCATGATTATCACCACCTTCTGGATTTTCCCGCTTCAGGACTTGCTGCTCCTGACTGTAACCTGCAACAGAAAACAAGCCAACGAGCCAAGGTACCTTGTAGGAAAGGAATTGCCAGCTGCTGTACTGCTGGTTGCAACCACGGTTCGGTTCTTCATGGTTACAATGTACTGCCGCTAGCCAGCACAGCCAGGTCATGCAGCATGGATCGAGCTCATGATTGGCATCTTGAGGGCCCAGAGCTGGGTAGGACAGCTTCACTCTGTCGCAACAAACAAGCTGACACGAAAATTGTGCCGTATGCCTCAAATGGGTTTTGTTACGTTCATGAAAGGTGGTTTGCTGGCAATAAGTGAGGTACTTTTATATTGACTTTGCTGAAAATTAGTAGTGCTGTGAAACTGTTACATGCTGGAAATATGGTGTTTTGCGAACTTCTATCCACGCTGTTGTATGTCAGCCTCAGCTGGCTGTTGACTTGTGGATGAAGGCCTGACATTCCGGATCTACTGTACTACAATGGCAGTGCATGACCATTAGAATTCTGAATCAGTCTTTGGCACAATAGAACTCCCGGCCTTATCTGGGCAGGTTGGGATCAAGCACTGCCACCCCGGCCACAGCACGGATTGGCATACAATACTGTTTGCATGCAGCAAGTAAACATCTTCAAAAATCCATTCCTTTTTGTGTGACTCAGAGGGGTTAGAATGGTGCTGCTGGGTAGATAGAGGGCTAAATCTGGGGTGTCTGAATAAATGATGGGTGTTTTACTGCGATGCACGGGGAGCCCTGGCTCTTTGGGCGCACATGTCATAGTTGCACGAACAACCGCTGTTTTGCACCCGATACAAGGTCAAGGGTTCCAAATAATTCCTTGGGCACTAATGGCATGACTAAGGGCGCGTTCAAATTGACACTCTTTTGACTTTTCGAGGAGTTTCGTTTTTCTGAAGAGGCGGCCTTATTTGCCTCTTCAGAAAAACAAAACTCCTGGAAACTCCTGGAAACTCCACAACCTCATCCAATGGGAGAGGTGGATTACTCTAATTTCAGAAATTTTCGGTGCTCAATATTTTCGGTATGAGGACAACAGGCCAGGCTAGGTTAACAGAAATTTTCGGTGCAGAGAAGCAGTTCCCTTAGGCCTATTGGATTATGTATGTTAGTATTTGTTCGGTGTATTGAAATTTTAGGTGTGAAACAGACGCACCGAAAATACCGAAAATAAAAGTACACCGAAAATTTGTGAAATTACAGTAGTTCCGAAGAGTTTGGAATAGCTACGTCATGTGTACGTCGAGATTGTCGATCCGATCGGACGTCATTATCGCCATGACAATTCCGCCGAAAAACTCTAAAATAATAGAAGCCATTCTATTGGGACACTTCAACTAATCTCTTCAAAAAAATTGTTTGAACTGTTGATGAAGACGCGTCCTAAGACTTATTGAGTATTTTTTAAATTGCATGACGTCACGTTGCAAAGTGATCAATGATAAGACGATGCATGATGATACAGTAGTGATTTTGGCAGGCTTGTTGGTGTGAAGCTAAATGCAAAGGCCAAGGCAAGGGGTTCAGGTAGATTATTTTCTCAGTAGTTACAGGACATGTGTACATAATTATACATAAAAACTATGCGCCTAAAAATAGACGACAGGGTAACTCACTTTCGTCAACTGCCACCTTGGCGAACCGGGCCATCCGCTTCGCAAGCAGGTTTTGATGCGCTAGAACAGACTCAATCGATACGTCCCCCATACGGCTGTGCAGTGGTGCCCATGGCTGATCTTTGTACGAAACGAAAGGATCCGGATCCGGAACTAGCGCATAGGACCGTTGATGCAGGTAAATCGCAGCGATAATGCAGCCGACGACAATACCGCATATTGTTGTCTTGCGAGTGCGCAGGCTTGCGAAATGTACCAGCCCGCGACTGCAGCGCACAAGACGGCCAAACGCCGCAAACCTCATGTCCATCCAACTGTCGATGTGTGCGGGTACTTCCGGCAAGTAGTTCCGAGTTCCGACTGTCACTACACTGACTGTACTGACTGTCATGTCAGTAGACCGACCCACTGCACTGCGCTACATCCGCATACTGTTAGATCCGCTAGAACTGCTACACGTAGTACAACTACAAGTCATGTAGGTCTACTCATTGCCGTCCTGGTGCTGCTGATGTGGTTGTAGTCCGCGGCGTCCGCTGGGGCCGCGTGCAGGCTAGGTCCGAGATCGAGCGCAAGCACTTACCAGCACTTCACCAATCACCATGATCACCGACCGTGTACGTACAGGTGTAGGCCACGCAGTCCTGCACCCGTACTGCTAGACTGTTCTGTGGCACCTAATCCTTCCTCAGTTGGACCTTGATCTGTGTCTTTCACTTCACTTTTTACGGAATCCCCTCTCCATTCTGTCTTCTCTCCTCCCCCCCCCCCCTCCGCCGCCCCCCCCCCCTGTAACACTTTTAAAAACCCTTGTGCAAACGCCGAGGTAGGCGCTGTTGGCTTGCCTCACCAGCAATCCAGCATAGGTCCCTCAAGTTCTTGGAGCTTCCCAATCCCAATGGTGTGTTGTCCTGTTACTTACTTCTCTCCCCTTCTTACGAGTACATACATGTAGGTTGGGTCTTCAGTAACCAGTGGTAACATAAATGACAAATTGAAGAACATGTAATGTTACGAGCATGCGCATGCAAACCTCCCCCATCAGTTAGCTGTAGAGGTACCGTATTATCTCTAATATAAGCACGGTCCTTTATTTTTCAATGTACATGTACCTCTGCCCGTGCGAGACGTTCCTTTATTGGAGACTGTTCCATTATTATTTCAACCTCATTTTAGAGGCATGTTGCCATGCCAAATTCATGTCAGACACACACATTTCAGGGTTTTTTTCGCCGGTACAGATAATGAATTTACACAGTGTGCTTATAATGGAGACTGAGCACTTTATTTTTTGAATGCCGCCCCAAGGTGTTCTATTATTGGAGACGTGGGCACCCTGTAAGAAGACCTTAGGGTCTGTTGGGAATGCCCAAGTAAAATAATATAATTAGTGCAATTAGGAGTATTCAAAATCGATTTTGAATAACATAAAAATCCTTAAAAATTCCATGAACTCGTTGTTGTTTTGGCCATGTCTGCATCGATTATACTCCTAATTGCACTAATAAAATTGCTTTCTCCACGCCGACTCTTTAAAATAATATAATACAATACAATACAATACAGTTGATGAAATATGGTGGTAAAGACACACCTGGCAATATGGCGGTAAACACACGCCTGCCCACACACGCTCTCTAAGCTGCACAGTTCTGGCACAGAGCTCTCCTTCTCACCACCACCACCATCAGTTCGCGCCTGGCGCCTCGTCGATGCATGGTTATATTGCCAGGTGTGTCTTTACCACCATATTTCATCAACCATAAGTACAGCTGCAGTGGTGTCTTCAAATTCATTCTCCCAATACAATACACGTGCAATTATTGGAGACTGTGCTTATAATAGAGATAATACGGTATATTCAGTACTACTAGTAGATCTACTCAAAACGTCATTTCGACTTTGCATGTTGTATTATGACCTGCCAGGTTCTCTACATGCAACAGACGACATGCAATACCTTTTACTGCACATGTTATGTGTAATCTGGTACCATGGTAACTGGTCCGAAACACCGCTGGCCTATCTTACTGGTCACTCTTCAGCTATAGACCACAGTCCCTGCTATAACATCACCATCCCTTACCCTATCTTTGCCCCCAATTGAGCTCCTGATCTATCACATGTCCCGGCCCTTTTCACTGTTTCACACGCCACTGGTACTTCTAGCTGCTCATAACTACTATCTGAGGTGAAGACTTTCGCGGAAAGGGCACTAACAGCCAAAAACTGGCGCACTGCATGCCCCTGGTAACCATTTTACTTCTTCAATCTCCCATTAATTCAGTCTACGCATCACAAAAATCATTAGTTGTCTGATGATTGGGAGCCTTGTTGAGACTAACTGGGAAAACTCGAAGGAAACTCGGAGTAGCAACAAGATGCACTAGTATTTAATAGTAACCTGAATCGTTGTTCGGACTGGATAGGCCATAACTATGTCATACACTGTACATGTACATGTACATGTACATGTAATTGGTCGTGTCACTGATACTTCCATGCCTGAATAAGGCAAAATCTTCGCCACACTGGAGCATGTCCGGTGCTACAGACATCTATACAGCCACGCACCGGTACATGCAGCCTACACAGCGTGAGCAGAGAGTGAGTCTTGGGCATGCCACGTCCTGTGACCTAGCAGGGAAGTATTAATACATCTGCCAGACTAGGAGATTCGGCTGTCAAGATGTCATTCCTTGCTCACTTTGTGCGCCAAACACGTCAGAAGAGGAGAGAGGCTGAGTCTGAGTCGGTGAGTGCATCCCACCGAGCAGGTAAGCCGACTCAGAGGTCTGTTGAGTGTTGTGGTATCATTACAAGTTGGCACACCAGCGTAACATTCTCCACTGAAGACCAGGGTGAGTAACATCACTACCATTTTTGTACTACTCCTGCTGGCTGAGTACAGCAGACGCTGTCTGTGACATTGGTGGTGTCCAGGCCGACTGCTTTATACCACGCCAAGGAGCCAGGTACAGGTACATACACCAATGACTATGTTCTTGTCAAAGTAGTGGCACACCAGTGCGGACTACATGTAATAATGCCATCCATGTAAAGCCAGGAACCACCGCTTCGAAGGCAGCCTGGCCTACCTCCCTTGCTCTATTATACACTGTAATACAGTCATGTACATACTGTCAACACTGGTGGTACTAGGGAGGTAGCAACGCTGTTATGTCCAGAGGTGACGTAAAAACGCAGTCAGAAGACCTGGAGAGTGGAGTGGAGGCTGGACAAGATCGGATAGACACGCACCAGTCATGCTCAATGATACACGTATATCCAGGCCTAGCCTATGAATGCTAGTAAAGAAGATCAGTACAGTGCCCTTCATGTAGTGGCTCCACAGCCAGCACAGACTGTGGCAGCGTTCCAAGGCCATAATCAATGATAATAGCCTAAGGCCGCAAGGGCCTTAGTAAGGCTGCACTGCCTGCAGTCGCACATGGCTCCATGCTACTGCCGTACTGGTGCATGCAGCCTGCTAACGTCGTGCTGACATCTACCAAAATAGCATTGGCATTTCCCACAACTGCCATTCGATGTGTCGTTCACGTGCCTAACTTGACTGTTGAAGAAGAGGCACTTGTCTTGTCTTGCTCTTGCCGTCTTGGCCTGTTGGCTGGTGACGCTGTTCCTGGCTTGGCAGGTACAGTTTATGCACTGACTGTACATGTATCTCAGCTTACCAACACATTATTTTGGCTGAAGCACTATTGACAGTGCAATGTGACTGGGTTTGGACCAGTGTGAGATGTCACCTCCCCCTTTCAGGTTCACAGCTTGAGAACCATTATTATACCACTCAGCATGCTCGCTCAGTGCCGCCAGGATCCGAATCCAAAGCTCCTGATGCCACATCCATTGTACTTGACATCCGGTCTGTCAAGCCGTCGACGCGTCGTGCGCCCACATGCCCATACTAGCAAACATCGCCGGACTCTTATAGTTTTTCTTAGTATTAAACATCAGGTCAGATTCAGATCTACACGACCGTACACGTATGTCATGTAACGTAAAAGGTCGTTGAGTTTGTACTGACTCCGTATCTGCAGCACTGACCATGCTCCAGACTCAAGTCTCCAGTCAAACCTGAGTGTAACAAACCGCCTGAGAATCCATTCCGAGCCCGAGCCCGACACACTGCGCTGCTCTTTCCCCTCGAAACGTCCAGGATGACTGTGATGTGCTTGCGTTCCAAACGCATGGTGGAGTCGTTGCCATTCATAGAGCGGTGCCGCTATTTCTACCCCATTGCATTCGTCAACTCTTCTGGCACCGTGGCGTGATACCTTGCCGAATCAACGATTGATCCGCTCGACGCCAAGCCGCGAGCCGGTCGTCTTGTGCACATGGGTGAGGTACCGGGTGGCCAGACCCGTCGCTAGTAGATCTACCAGTGCTGCAACCAACCTCAGGTTGCCCTACAGCTGTGCCGGAATAGTTCAGCTTATTTAGACTCCCGTGTTTCAGTTAGGAGGGGCGCCTCGGACGGGCTCCAGGGCACAGTCAGTCGGGGTAGCACAGGCGAAGATGCCGGACGACCGTAGCAAATCCGACGGCGTGAGCGTCAATGTTGCTGTGTTGGGCCTGCCCAGTCATTCACTTCTCAAAGAGCAGTACGACGCGGCACGTCGCTCTTCCGGCAGAAAACACGCCGGTGCGGAGTTGACCAGCACTCCACGCCCCATCGCCTCGGACATTCGAGAGCGCTGCAAGCGTCTGGGCGTGGGCAAATCGTCACTGTGCTCACGATTCATTCTGGAAAAACTGGATGACTACCATCAACTCAGAGACCAGTTGACGTCGGTCGTCACAAGATCGCAATTTGAGACGCCGACAATCAACGGTGACCATTTCCTGTACTTCGGTTCTACGAAACGACAGTTCTGCATGGGGCGGCCAGGTAGCAACCACCGGGCCAGCCATACCGCACACTTTCAGATCGTCGAGCAGACTACGTTCATCGACCCTACTACGGCCACAGGCACGAATCCTCCGCTGCCATTTCCCGGATGCTCGCGCTACGTGGATTCGGCACTGAACCAAGTGATCTCGACCAATGGCTCTGCAACGAAGACGAGCTGTGTTGGAAGGCCGCAGAGCTCGATAGACAGCATGAACAAAGCGTTCTCACTTCCATCTAGGCCAGGTGCATCTTCTCATTATTACATGCAACCAGTTCTGTCGTCACCTCTTCAACAGTCACCAGTGGCTGGCTCAGCAACGCTGCATTGTAGCCCACTGCGATCTCCAAAATCACCGCAGACTTTGATGCCGCAGCCAACTCCACCATCACAGCAGGCTCTGAAGCCATACACACACCCAAAGCCAGTGAAGACACTGCCAGCGAAGCCTGCGCTTTCCCCCAAACCTGCAGTACTTCCGAAACCTGCGCTGTCGAAACCAACTCCGCCTGCACTACCGCCGAAGCCAACTCAGCCTGCGCTACCCGCGAAGCCTGCGCTACCCGCGAAGCCTGCGCTACCAGCGAAGCCTGCGCTACCAGCGAAGCCACACCAGCCTCCCGAACCTCCTCGGTGCCCACGTCCCCAATTGCAGTCACAGGCAAACGGATCGCCTAAATTGCCTGAAAAGCCAGGTGCCTATCCGCGCGGTCAGGAAGTGCTCCCCCAGGACTTCCATGTAGATGGTTTCGTCCTGGTACTAGATATGTCTAGGTCAGAGAAGGAAATGGAATTGCAGCAAGATCTATTGGCAGCAACAGTCAAGCAACTCGCCAAACAAAGCAAGCCCAAACCAGTGGTGATAGCTGTGACGAAATCGGAAACCCTGAGCCCTCAGCGACAGAGAGAAGTCAAGACCTACTGGAAGGCTATCTCGCCCGGAAAGCGTCGGATACCGCTCTTCTTCTGCTCAGCGGAGCAGGGCATTGTGGACGATCCGTTTCTCTACCTGTCTACACTGGTCATCAGGAGGTCACTAGGCTGGAAGGCGAACAGTATGCCTCAGCCGCAGCTAATCCTGTACACGCATCACGAACGCCTGCTGGTCGCCAGACTGCAACGGGCCGTGATAGCACTGCAGTCGCTCGTCATGCACTTCAGCGGCGTGCGCAACTGGAGCCAAGTGTCACTGGATCGGCTGCAGAAAGAGCATGGCAGCCAGGCACTGGAGACTGCCCTGGCAATGCTGGGTGAGAGCAACTGCCGCTCCATCCTGCAGAACAGCGCTGACAAGATCCACGGCGTAGCATCCGATGCCGGAACACGAGCAAGGAATGCTGCCACTTTGAAGAGGTCAGTTTACCAAAGCGACCTGTGCTTATCTGAATCTTGCCCCACCGCAGGCTATTCCTGAGACAGTAGTAGTAGTGATGCAGTTTACAATACCGTGTTTTCCGGAATAAAAGCCGCACTTTAAATATTCACAATTCACCCCAAAAATGGGGAGTGTGGCTTATATCCCAGGGCGGCATATATTCCAGTACGGCTTATGCTCCGTAAAATACGGTATTACTTTTTTCATGCTGAGACTGTTCACTGTGGTCAGCTTTATGGCGCTACGGGCATCAGGCAGTGATGACAAGTGAAATCTAAACTCATTAATGTAGCAGCGGGCTTTGGGTAGGAGGGGAAGGGAGGGGGTGAGCACACGGGCAAAGCAAACTGGGCTCAGCTACTACTATGACGCTAAGCGCACACTTCAGCTGTACAACCACCCCAATACACATAGAAATCTTCAGTAGACTCTGCAGAGCCGTACGGGAACAGAACTCTGCATGAACCAGTCCGAATATCAGTTGTAGCATTGTCTTGAAACTTAGATGACTGGTCTCTGAAGACTCCCTCCCCCCCCCCCCCCCCTCCCCCATTTTTCACCATGTCATAGTCATTCAGACTCTCTGTTGTATGTTACCTTCAGTGCAACCAACACAAGTAGGAAGGTACTACTGTAGTACACTACAACGGAACAAAAGTGTGTTGATGGTTTCTATGCGGTGCCTGCTTTTTTCTTGAACAACCTCATGCCTTTTTACAAGCTTCTACTTCAAAGTATGATGTAATGTGCTATGCAAGTTGGCATGATCTTTTTACAATTTCTTTGCCATTGCAGGCAACATGCTATTCGTGTCAACCACCCATGCCCCAAATCACCCATGTCCAAATCAGCTACGATCTCTTCAAATGGAAAATCAGACTCCTTTGACCAAACCAGCTCGGAGGATAAGCAGCCTTCCTCTCCCACCAAATTGCAGTACACTGACAGAAGGAGGAAACGATCTGCGTCAATGCCCAGCGTAGTCGTCGAAGCACACGTAAAACGCTGGCTAGCCAGTCCCAGCCTCCACCATGTGAATCAGCCACATATCAGCAGTGAACAGCAGACGCATGAGCCTGCTGATGGGCTCGATGCCAACGCAGATAACGACCAATACCTTCTAGGCACTGATGATGAAGAAGACTATGTCGAGAGTCGGGCATCTGCTAAACGTTGCCATCAGGATAGGATGGAAATGCCACGTGATTGCAGTGGCAGTGGTGCATCCAACGGCCGTGCCAATGCCAAGCCGCAAGACCTCAACCGCAACAATGCCATGTCAACTGGGCATGATAACACAAATAGCACACACCAAGAGCCGCCAGTAACCAGCACGCCTGTTCTGACCTTGATCCAAACACACAATGGGAACTGTAGCCACGGCCCGCACACTTCTATGTCATCAAAACACCCTGAGCAGCATGGCGTGTTGAACAAGAACGGGTGTGCAGAGATGCCACAGTCAAACACAGAGCACAGTGATGGTGATACAACTGACTACTCCACTGTTTCAGACGACAGCAGTGACAGCGAACCTCCGGCACGTTTCGCCCTTCAGAGGAAGCGGATATCCTCATCAGGGCACGGGGGTAGTGAAACTGAGTCACCGTACGTCATGACCATGTAAGTGAGCCTGAACTCTGCTTGATGAGGGCATAGTGGGAGAGGCTAGAATCAGGCAGAGTGAAAACTATCTATTGCGTATATAGACTCGGATAAGAAGTACACCTGGCCATTATGTACAGATTCAACGGTACCGCTTTTTCCTTCATAAGAGCGCATGCAGAGTCAGTGCATTGTAAATTTGCTATGATGGACTCGAGTTGACATACCTGCAGCGGATCATACAGTATTGCTTGGTGATGCGGTGTTCGTTAGTCCTGCATATCATGGTCAGCATTACAGCTTTAGTCCGAAGGGTGTGTGTATGTGCATGCGTGTATGTACATGTGTGTACGTGTATGCCGGAACGCACACGGTGCCTTCTGCATCCAGGGTGAGACGGATGATCAAGAGCATATATCAGTCGGACGGCGAGGAAGACAAAGAAGAGGATGGCAACAGCAGTGACTACGACGATGACATCAAGAGCTGGACGTTGCCGGCACGTCGTAAGGCGAGTGAATCAGACTCGGCAGAAGAAAATGTGTTTAATGACTCTGGCAGTGCGACAGATAGAGATGACCCGGACTACATCGAATCTTGGGAAATCGGTGCACCGGCTGCATCCACTCCACCATTGCTACCAAGGAGGAGAACATCTACAGGAACTTCCGTACGACTTCCCACTGTTCCCACTCATCGGTCTATCCACAACAAAGGCCGTGGTAAGAAGCAATCATCCGGGGAAAGGTTAAGGAGCAAGAGGTCAGCACGGCCGCAGTACTTACCGAGAGTGCCAGGCAAGCAGCTTGGAGGCAATCTACCACGGCGTCTGCACATCTCCCCCGTTTCTCCTAGAACACGCAAGCGCCAGGGTTACATCACGCTGGAACAGCCAGACGGCCATGCCGATAGCCCACTGAGCGTAGTGGACATTAGCAGCAGCAAGGACTATCCGGACACTAGCACTGACAGCAACCAGCGTCCCCTGCATCAAACTACTGACGCTTTTGAGGAGCGTTCAGTTGCCTCAGTGGACAGCGGCATCACATCACTGCCTGGCGAGAGAGATTACGAAGACAGCGATAGGACATCAACACACACCATGTCATCACAGTCATCCGTGTCCAGTGCAGAGCGCAGTGGCAGTCAAAGAATATCCAAAAAGCCCAGCTTGGAAACCCGACAAGAGGAGAAGGAACAGGAAGATGCGGACGAACACGATTACATTTTTCTATGCTGCTCAGAACCCCAGGAAGTACCTACTACAACGAGCCGGAAGGAGACGGAGAATGGCCACCAGTCCCTGAACATGGACAAAACGCGTTCTTCATCGAGTGCATGCGAAAGAATGGAGATAGAGAATAACCGTGAGCACTTGGTTCCAAAACCCAGTGAATCCATACCCCTGGATCTAGCCACTGACCATCAAACAACTGCAACTATCCAGGCGAGAAATGAGTCCGTGGATTCCAATATTGAACCTAACCACATGGCATTACCCGACGGCAGACCTAAAGAAGATCTCAGCACTCCTAACAACAACAAGAAGACATCCAAGGCAAAAAAATCACCAAAATTACCCGACAAACTTGAATGGCGCGACTCGAATATCGTCCTGGTGGACATGCAGAGTGACACCGAACAAACAGAGCCCCAGAAAATGCCTGAAGAGTTCAAATCAAGGAGGTAAGATTATAATTGCTGAGCAGGATTCAAAAAATTCAACTTCGAATGGACCAACATTCTTTGAGAAATGTCCTTTAGGTAATAACTTAGTAAGAGTCCATAAACAAGAGTAACTTATCCAACTGTGATCTCTTTTCTATGGGCCAGATGCACGGCGCGCTGCCTTCATTTACGTACATCATTCAGCTGCAGTCCGCGCACTGCGGCAAATCAAACACCGCACTTTCTCTCTGGTTTGAAATGAACTTTCGCACGGAACTGAGTTTACGCGTCAAAATTTTGAGATCGCGTAGGTATTGGTCCTATTGGAACAAATTGAGCAAAAATGGATGGGCTCGTACGAAAAATTGTGGGTTTGAGTGCATGCTTTGAGAGCGTGATGGAGGCAACTTACGTAATGATGGCAGCGCGCCGCGCACTGACCCATAACCACAGTTGCATACTCGTGTTATGCACTCTTGGTAATAGGAAGAGTACATAACCCCCAAGAGGTGTGCAACTGCCGGCACAACCTCTATGCAGTGCTGCATTATACTCAGCATCGTGGCCAGATCACTGAATGCCGATAACCCCCTTCTGAGCCGGGTGACCTGCCTACCAGACATGGTCGAAATCTGCTCTACAATGCAAGTGTAGCCGTCATGTTGTTTAGTCCAGGTACTGTGCGTCTGAGGTCCAATGATATTGCACTAGGCAAGGTCCTACGAGAGAGCTTGGAAGCTCAGGGCCCTACGCTATGCTTTTTTGCCTTGATGACCTAGACAAAAAAAAGCATAGGGATGTTATAAATTCTTTAAAAAAATCCTTTTTTTTAGACATAACCTGGGATTCGAACCCGCACTATCGCGCGCCCTGCATGCATCCCCCGATACACTTCGCATACATACTAATTCTTCCAAGTTGTTTCACATTGTGATCTTGCATTTGAAAGCCCTATTTGAATATGCATTGTGGCCAGCCGTCTTTGATGGCACGGTACGGTAGGGGATAGGTACGGGACAGGTACGATCGAGGGTAATACGACACCGTCTCCCGTACCGTACCATCAAACACAGCTGGCCACATACAGCTGCCCGCAATATTCAAATAGGGCTTTCAAACGCAAGATAATAACGTGAAGCAACTTGGAAGAATGGGTATGAATGCGAAGTGTATGGGGGAATGCATGTAGGGCGATAGTGCGGGTACGAATCCCAGGATATGCCTGAAAAAAAAATAGGAGAATTGAAAAATTTATAACATCCTATGCTTTTTTGCCGTCAGATACGGATAGCGCCAGGCGTGACACAAACAAACAAACAAACAAACACACAAATACCAAATTAAAGCTGTGTGGACCCTGGCTAGCGCCAGACGTTACTGAAGTAACGTCTTCTGCATAGCTACGGGAATAAAAGTACTTTACAGTCCATACTCTTAAACAAGTTTGCAGTACTAAAGTATTTTTTGCAGAGAGGCCTCTTTTACAGGCAAAAGCAACACATGATTCTCAGGAAAGACCAGGGTATATTGTAAGACCAGATATATTATATTAACGTCAATTAAAGTTAGTGATCTCCGGATTTTTATGGGTCCGCGAGGTGAAATTCTAACGAATTCTGTCTCAAAACCGGGAAATGACTGTACATGTACATATCGTTTTGCACATAACGACTTCAAAGATTGTTTTAAATTCGTTTAAAAAATCGTTAGAATTAAATGTTTATACAAAAGAGAAAGACCAAGGAACTACAAGTTACACTATACTGTCCACTAACACCACGTAGCGTAACTTGTAGTTCCTTGGTCTTTCTCTTTTGTATAAATTAAACCTTGCCTCTCCATCTGAGAATTAAATGTTCGTTAAGATTACTGGTCTTACTAGCCCTTGGCGGATTATGCCAGCATAATATTTGGCATACTCTTGGGATTTCGTAAAAAAATTATGCTCCGGCATAATATACGGATTCCAACGTGTAAGGTCGGCATAATCTTTCGGTTTTTCTTGACAAAAATTATGCTTAGGGGCATAATACAGCTTTGTCAGAAAGCCTGCAGATGTTTTTTTTTTAAATACCCCAGTTACGACTCCTTGCCATAGCCCTTGGCGGATTATGCCAGCATAACTTAGTATTATTTGGCATAATCTTGGGATTTCGTCAAAAAATTATGCTCCGGCATAATAATTATACGGATTCGAACGTGTAAGGTCGGCATAATCTTTGGGTTTAGACAAAAATTATGCTTAGGGCATGGCCGTGTGTGTATGCGTGGTTTCTCAATACTCTATGTACAGCGTGAATACATAGTGGAACCGAGCATTATTCAGCATATTTGTTGGCATAATTGTGGCATAATCAAAAGCATAATTTGACGATTGGCCGAGCATAGTCCGCCAATGGCTAGGTCATACAGTAGCATGTTTCAACGACTATAAGCCGCACTCAATTATAAGCCGCGCACTCAATTATAAGTCACACTCCACTTTCAGGTTCGAGCCAGATTTTTTCAATACAATTATCCACATAAGAAGGATGGTAATTGAAAGAAAAAATGCAGTACATTGTTTCCAAGGTAATGCACACTGAGGTTACACTGTATTGCCATGTGTTACTGCAGCGCCTCCGAAGATTTGGTGACAATACCACGCGCTGTGCCACAAATCATCACAATAAAGCCCAGGAGCGCATCGCTTGCCCCAAGCTACTATCAGAGAGACCTGGACCGGTAAGGGAGTTCTGTTCTGAACCGTGCGGTACACGTGCTGTATACTACTGCCATAAGATATGCACTGAAGCACATAGCATACTTAGCGGAGGATGTTCAGGTTGCGGGTTGTAACTCCGAGTGTTCATGCCGCTAGGCAATCATCAGGCAACTGGTACTGCGGTTCTACCCAGCTGTACTCATACTTCAAGTACACGGGGATCAACGGACTCGTTGCACTGAAGCACTAAACCTAACGAGCTAACGAGGAGAAAATCCGCTGTTAATTAATTTATAAGGGCATGTGTGATTGGTAGGATTGGGATCCAAATCTCAGATCCATCAGATCCTTCAGAGTCAAACAAACACTTTATTTTTGGACCTTGACTGTTGCCATGTTGACAAAGTACAAAATGGCACTTACAGGTCACAACAGTCCTTCTCATCGTGCGTGTCGTACGAAAAGTCAACAACAGTATCTCGATGCACGTGTGTGCGTATCACACGGTGTACGAAAATGATTTTTACCTGCCATATACGCACAAAGATCACATTCGGATCCGGTCAACCCTGCTCCCCCGAGGTGGGTTGATCGGATCCAAATCCAAAGGATCCGGATCCGGATTTGACCAATCGAAAGGGTGCGAACCCAGTGGATCCGCTTGATCTGGATCCCGATTCTACCAATCGAACATACCCTAAGGTTCTCCAAACATGCACACCTTTTTGCACTACTAGTGTGTTATACGATTTTCCTTTCCCTGGCTGAAAAGTCAAGGTGGGGCTTGCGAGACGGGGCGCTCTCGCGCTACTTTATACGGTGTTAGTGGTGTTTACAGTATGCAGCAGGGATGTGTACGCTTCTGCCAACGTGTGATTCCCAACTGTAACAGTTTTCCCCTGTTCTCTACAACTTTACACTCCCTCGCACCTCATGCGTCTTACGCCTGTCTATTAGCACCTTCATTGGCGCCATTGCCACATGTATACTACCACATTTTGCATATAACTGGTCGAGGCACGCTCAACCAGGCCTCTTACTTTTCAAGTTTGATTAAACCTGTTACACTGGTAGCAGAGGATGGTTACTACTCTGCTTTTGGCAGGTGTTCTGGTCGCTCTGCTTACGCTCCTCGTACTCGTCGTTCGGCTGATAAACGATATCAAGACCGCTCAGCGCGTTAGCCAAGGAAACCGAACGATACATCCGAACTCGGAACCGTGGGAGCCAACACCCCGCCTTACGAAAGAGCCGCCTGTGTTTGGAGGAGATTCCGCTACATTCAAAGAATGGACGTTTGCAATGGACATGGCCCTACGGTCGTTGGCACTCCCAAATGCGGCACAGAGGGTCGACTACGCGGCAGGATTTTTGACTGGAAACGCTCGTCTTTGGTTGATAGCGGCATTGGAAGCTAACCAAGTGTTTTCCGACTGGCCTGCTCTGAAAGCGGCACTTGGCGATGTGTACGGACCACGGCACAACGAGGAAACATCGCGTATGGGACTAATTTCCGCAGCGCAGCGCGGGTCGCTGGACGCATACATTGCTGCTTTCACTCGCCTCAGCCTGCAAGTGCCGGAAATCGACCACCACACCAGAGCGCTGCTGTTCGTCAGGGGTCTAGTGCCGCACATCCAGCGACAGGTCATGCGTGAGCATCCACGTACCCTGGAGCAAGCTGTCATGGCAGCAAACACCGTGGAGCAGTCGTCAGGGCCACCGGCGTCGGGGCCACCAGCCAGTAGAGAGTCGCGTTCCGTGCCCAGCTTCCGTGGTCAGGGCCTCCGCAAGCTGACGGACCAAGAGCGTGTCCAACTGCGAGCAATGGGACACTGCTTTGCTTGCAGGAAGCCAGGCCACCTCGCTAAAGACTGTACTGAGGGTGGACAGCGCTACCCAAACGCTGGTCGCCAGTAAGAAAGGGGGTGCGCTTACTGGCGACGACCCAAGCACCCACGCCGGTACCAGTCGCTAACCGGTTCGGAGCTCTGGAGGTTGAAGACGTTGCTCTCCAGGAACCTACGGAGCCGGAGACACCCATAGCTGTAGGAAATTGTCCCGTTGCAGAAAGGTGTCATGTCAGCAACGTCAGCGTCGGCAATGAACCTGAACACGACCTACTGCACATACAGGGAAAGATCGGCGGTCGCCGTGCAGTGATGCTGATAGATTCCGGTTCGACGCATGACTTCATTGCAGACAGTTTGTTCGAAAGCATCATCTTGACACGGATGCAAGCTCAGCAGTGCTGAGCGTAACATTGGCGGATGGCTCGACCAGCGAGGTCCCGCAGATTTCCACACGCACGCTAAGGGTGACAGTCGGGGGCTTCAGTGAGGAACAGCACTTTACTGTGTATCCCCTGACTCGCTACGACGCTATTCTTGGCAAGCCGTGGCTTACAAGGAACAACCCCAGCATCAACTTCCGTACGAACGAAGTTCAGTTGGACGGTGAGCCCTTTGTTGCCAAATTGCCTTCAGCTAACCCGCCGACAGCCGACCGGCCATCTGTGGAAAGCATGTTTATCAGTGGCCGACAAGCTCGTCATGCCCTGAGGAGTGGAGCCGAGGGGTTTCTTGCATGGGTCACTGCTGCAAACGAGGAGAATCGTTCCGGGCCACAACTCCAGGAATCAGAGCAACAAGACATCCAGAACCTGCTCAAGAGGTACCAGGATTTATTTCCAGACGAGCTGCCGAATGAGCTTCCACCGAAGAGACCAGTCGACCATGAAATCCAGATAGAAGATGGAGCCAGACCACCGTCTCGACCCGCCTACCGCCTGCCGAAACCAGAGATGGACGAGCTCCAGTCACAGCTGTCAGAATTACTTGAGAAGGGATTCATTGAGCCAAGTAAGTCGCCATACGGTGCACCTGTGTTTTTTGTGAAAAAGTCGGATGGTACTCTGAGAATGGTGTGCGATTGGCGAGAATTGAATAGAATTACGATCAAAAACAAAGCTTGTCTTCCTAATATTGATGACTTATTCGACACGATCCAGGGCAGTGCATATTTCTCCAAGTTGGACTTGCGGTCGGGGTACAATCAAATCAGAATTCAAGACTCGGATGTTTCTAAGACGGCCATTAATACGCCGTTCGGCCACTTCCAATTTAGAGTCATGGGATTCGGGCTGACTAATGCCCCGGCCACCTTTCAGTCACTCATGAACTCTATTCTTCAACCGCATCTCCGAAAATTCGTTGTAGTATTCTTGGATGACATTCTAGTTTTCAGCAAGACCTGGGAAGATCATCAGCATCATCTTCAAACAGTTCTAGAAACACTTAGAAATAGTGAGCTGTATTGCAAACAGTCTAAATGCGAATTCGGCGTGAGAGAAGTTCTCTTCTTGGGGCATAAAATCAACGGCACATCAATTTCCCCTGATCCCAAGAAGATAAGTGCTGTGGAAACATGGCCAATTCCGTCGTCAGTAACTGATGTGAGGAAGTTTCTTGGCTTTGCAAACTATTTCCGAAGGTTCATAGATCGACACTCGACCATCTCTCGTCCATTAGAAGAAATCACCGGAAAAAATTCACGCTTTGAATGGAGCGCTGCTAGACAGAAGGCATTCGAGTCTCTAAAATCAGCATTACTCGAGGCGCCAGTGTTGCAACTGGCCGATGTTGAGAAAAGCTTCACGGTAGAAACTGACGCAAGTGACTTTGCCGTGGCGGGTGTGCTCCTGCAGCAGGGAGAAGATATGGATTTGCATCCCGTAGCCTATTGTAGTCGGAAACTGTCAGCTGCAGAACGCAACTATACTGCGGCCGAGAGGGAAACGTTGGCTGTGGTATTTGCATTAAAGTGCTGGAGAATCTATCTATTCCGCCACTTTGACCTGATGACTGATAATATGGGTGTTGTCTATTTACGAACCAAACCGACTCTCACCAAGCGTGAGGCAAGATGGGTAGAGTTTTTAGCTGACTATGACTTTACGGTCTTTCACAAACCAGGAAAGAAAAACATTGCCGACCCGCTTTCACGCCGTCCAGATCTGTTCAGTGATTCTGAAATAGGCGGGTCATCCTATCCTCCTAACATTCAGTTGAATGCCATAGAGCATACCCTAGAGATTAATCCAGACTTAGCGCAGTTAATTGTCAGCGGTTACAAGTGCGACAAGGATCTTGCTCCCATTATCAGGAGACTGAAAAATTCAAGCCATGACAATCTGCACGACCGTTACCTTCTAAATGAAACACCCGGTTATCTTTATCTCAGATCTTCACCACAGAACAGGTTATGCATTCCAAAGAGTAGCAAACTCCGACTCGCCCTGCTTCAAGAATACCATGACTGTGTGACTGCGGGGCATCCCGGTCGAGATCGCACCTATTTCAGACTCGCTAGATATTTCTATTGGCCCAGAATGGGACTGGATGTAAAGGCGTTTGTCAAGTCATGTGACGTCTGCCAACGAGTTAAAGGCGGCCAGCTAAAAACTGGTCTCTTGCAGAATTTACCAGTGCCCAGTCAGCCGTGGGCGGATATCTCGATGGATTTTATCATGGGTTTGCCTAGGACCGATACAGGTCATGATGCTATATATGTATTTGTAGACCGCTTGACAAAGTGTGTACATTTAGCACCTACTTCCTCTACTATTGACGCTAAAGGAAGTGCTGATCTGTATATTCAACATGTATTTCGACTTCATGGTTTGAGTTCTAGTATTGTATGTGATCGTGATCCAAGATTTACGGCAGCATTTTTTCAGGAATTGTTTGATCGCTTAGGAACGAAACTAGCATTTAGTACTGCCAATCACCCTCAGACAGATGGCCTAACTGAACGAGTAAACAGAATAGTAGAGGATGTGCTGAGGGCTTTTGTAAATCATAAACAAGATAACTGGGATATGCTCCTACCTCTCTGTGAGTTTTCTATCAACAGCGCTACTCAATCATCTACAGGAAACACACCGTTCTTCTTAAATTACGGTCTAAATCCCAGAGCGCCACCCGACTTCCTCAACCCTATTCAGGGAGGCAGAGATTCAGCTGATTGGTTGCAAGCAAGACAAGACGCGGTCAAGATCTCACAAGATGCGCTAGTGGCAGCTCAAGCTCGTCAGGCCTTCTATGCAGATCGGACAAGGGTCGAGGGAAAGCTGAAGGTGGGAGATTTGGTAATGGTCTACCGGGATTTCCTCCTGACTCCTGAAGCTCGGGACCGACCATCCCATAAATTACGCCCCAAGTGGTTTGGCCCCTTTCCTATAACCCATGTGGTCGGCCCGAATGCCTACAAGCTCAAGTTGCCTCATACCAGCCGCTGTCACCCGGTATTTAATGTGTCGGCACTCCGTGCCTACGAGAAGAACGCTATTCCTAATAGGAGACAGCCTACGCCTCCGCCTATCACGGACCTTGATGGTCATGCCCGCTATGTGGTGGAGAACATTCTCAGTCACCGCCGCCGGCAGAATCAGCTTCAGTACCTAGTCAAGTGGCAAGGCTACTCTGATGCCACTTGGGAGCCTGAACATTATTTGTTGGATGAATCTGGTAATGACATTGTTCCACTTCAGAAGTACAAAACCTTGGCTTCTGCCCGCTGAGTTTTGCAGTTGAACTTCTAGTTTCACCTTACACATTTGTTGAGCTTATTACACTGTATTTGCATGGAGTTTCAGTCGTCTTATTGTGTTACTTCAGTGCGAAGCCTTTTTTCGTCTCGCACGTGTTTGCGCTTATTGTACTCTATTCCACTTGAGCATTTGGGTTATAAGCTCCTTCCTCTCCATAGGAGGGGGATGATGTAACAGTTTTCCCCTGTTCTCTACAACTTTACACTCCCTCGCACCTCATGCGTCTTACGCCTGTCTATTAGCACCTTCATTGGCGCCATTGCCACATGTATACTACCACATTTTGCATATAACTGGTCGAGGCACGCTCAACCAGGCCTCTTACTTTTCAAGTTTGATTAAACCTGTTACACCAACTGCAGCGTACGAAGTGACGTATGCGGAAAAAAATACACAAAAGGGTCTGAAGCACAGGGGCACGTTACCATGTGGTGTGTACGTGTCACGACTCACAAAGGCCAATAAACCTGCCAACCGCAGTTTCTGGTTGTAACGGTAGTCAGGAGCACTGCACCTCACGATGTGTCACCCACTTCATGATATGCTGTTAGTTCACACTCGGTATAGAAGGCATACAATGCACTCAGGTAGAGATACATGTACTTCATGGACCGTATTTATCCGAATATAAGTCGCACCTTTTTACACTAAAATTCAAGGGTAAAAAGGGGGGGATGCAGCTTGCAATCGAGCATGACAGACAGACGTACTACGTACTGACGTGAATAGATCCAAACTGGCTCAAACCTGAAAACGGGGTGCGACTTACAATCAAGTGAGCCTTATAATCGGGGAAATACGGTATTGACAGTCTGTGGTAGTCCGATGATGCTGATATGCCTCTCTGTGTTGTTGTGCACACTGACCATTTGCACAGGAGCTTATCACCACCGAGCGGGGAACAGGTAAGCCTGGATAGGATCACCTCAGCGGAGCCCGAGAGGATCAAGATCAGGCGACCTGAAGCATTGTCAGCCGGTGTAGTAAGTAGATACGACTCTGAGACCCTGACACCTCCTCCAACCGCACGCCAGAGGTTATCCACCCTGGCTCGGAATCTGTTCAGTAGTGGCAGTGGCAGTGAAGGCGGCGGCAGCAGTGCTGTCTCGCCCAACAGAAGAAGAAAGCAGAAGTTGGCATCGGCCTCTGCAAGCTCCGATGGTTCACCGACTCTTTCACCCACATACATCAACCATCTCCCCGTCAATGGCAGCAGCCTCGCCCCAGGTGGTCGTATGGACACAAGGAGCATGACCTTAGGTAGAATTCCCAAGCGGAACAAATTGACACCGACAGCACCTACCTCACCACTCGACGTTCCAACAGCAAAAGGCATGAGACACGAACTGGGCGGCAGCAACAGCAGAAGCGCCAGCGATATCTCACTGGACGTCAATGATATATCTTTGACGCCAACAGTGTCTGCTCCATATCCACCTTCCTTTTCACCTGGACAGGTCCGGTGTCTCCTATTCGGCCATAGAAGCAGCGATTCTAGCAGTCCTGCATCTTCACCCAGCAAGCCGCACACAACACCACCATCACCGATGGCAGCCCGTCCCACCTCACAAGAATTTTCGTCAGTCTACAGCATGGGTCCACGACCTGTTACTGGTGCACAGCTATCATCACAGCCCGTGCAAATACACACAATGACAGCATCTTCACCTAGCAAGCCGCACACAACACCACCATCACCGATGGCAGCCCGTCCCACCTCACAAGAGCTTTCGTCAGCGTACAGCACGGGCCCACTACCGGTTACGGGTGTACAGCTTTCATCACAGCCCGTGCAAATACACACAATGACAAGAAGCAGCGGAAGAGACTCAGCTGATAGATCTCCATCGCCGAGTCCTGCTGTCGGACGCAACCGCAGGGCATGTGGTTCCCTGCCCGCCATCTCCCCACTACCGACGACAGGATTGCATCCTCTGAGTGCAGTGGTACGGCGCTCACTCAGTGACAGCCCTGTTCTCATCAAACACTCATCAAGCTTGGACCCAGAAACAGATGCATTATCACGTCCACTGGCAAATGAACTTGCCGACGAGTTCGACGACTTCTTGACACAGACATCAACCTTTGCGCCATGTCAAGCTCACGGGTAACAGGGTCTTCATCAATGCGCTCGAAAGCGCTGATGAACGAAGAATTGGTAGGGTATGGTGGGCCCTCTATCCTCTGCATGGTCCTCAGAGAAAAGGCAGATCTATTTTTGAAGTAAAATGCAGCAGCTATTGATGCTCCTGCGATGGAAACATTTGGGTTGCCTGCACAACAAATGTATGTATGGCACTTCAAGTGCTTTCATTCTATCACAGCTTGCTTCTCTCAACCAATGCAATGCCACTTTTCTTTTCTTTTTGTAACTGTCTCATTGTTCTATTGGTTGATTTAGACTGAGATCTGAATTCGCCTAAACTGATGCATGCACCCACTGTTGAACTTGATGCAATGCAGCTTTCACACTTGAGAAGTTTTATTAGGTACATGTACAGGCACATTAAAACATCGCAGCTATATCCCCCCCCCCCCCCCCCCCACACACACACATGCACACAGATACAATAATTACAAGACATTATTTGAACTGAGATGTTGCGACTTCAGTGATTATTACAGAATGTGGCTGCTCCTAGTGCTGGAGCTCGCGTTTCCTGCAGCAAAGTGCCAGCCAGTCGGCAGGAAGAGTGAGCGCCTGATATTATTTTGAGATCATTAAATCATCCACGGTATTATATTAATATGGAATGTACCCTTTATCCCTCCAATGTGTATGCAAATTTTCAAAATTGGTGAGCAATGAATGGTGTTGGCCGAGATGGCCTCCGTGCGGAAGTGCTAGACCTACTGAAACTTGAGTGCGGTCAGAAAGTGTGCCAACCAGGCACAAAACCAACAGACTGACTTTATAATAAAACAATTACAGTAAAAACTGTCAAGGCGACCACCTGCCCCAGAAGACCACTGTGACCAGGACCAAGGGATGCTATGTCCAGTCAAACGACCCTGGGTAAGAAGACCACCTGGTAACAGAGACCACATTTTGAAGGTCCATTGAGCGGTCGTCTTAGACAGGTTTCACTGTACTAGTGCTGTGCATGTGATTGTTTGGTCGGATCCAGACCCAGATCCGTCGGATCTGCAGTGATTGATTGATTGGTCGAAACTGGATCCTAGCAACCCAGCGCCGGGAGCAGGGTTGACTGGATCCATCGGATCCAAATGTGACCTTTGTGCGTATATGGCGGGTAAAAATAATTTTTGTACTCATTATTGTACGATTAGTCGATTTTTGTTGACTTTTCGTACGACGCGCGCGCGATCAGTACGACTTTCGCCCTTTGGGGTGACCTGTCAGCGCCATTTTTTACTTCGTCAACATGGCAACAGCCAAGGTCCGAAAAAAGTGATCGGTTGATTCTGAAGGATCCGACGGATCTGAGATTTGGATCCGACCAAACGATCATAGCCTAAATCCATGGTGGACAATTACAGTACTTTCCGGAATTTATTATTTTAATTAAAGCTGGTGGCCAGATTAACGGTTATAAACAAGGTACAGTAGTATAGATAGACACCCAGCAAACACCAGTAAGTTGGTATTAAATGCTATTTTTTACGGTATTCGTACCTTGATCACCCATATATGATAATATAACGTTGAAGCTGCAGCGTAAATACGTTATGGGGACTGATTTATCGCTGTGACGAACGGTACGTTTTTCAGCCAAGTATAGCGTACCCATTTCACCTTGTATCGTGTATATGATGCCATAAATGGTTGTACCGCGTGAAATAAAAGCTATAAAAGCTATTCTGCTCTACGTTTTGGGAACGCGACGCAAAGAATCACGCGAACTTTCTTCGCGTTCCCGTAACGTAAAGAAATCCTGTTCTGCTCTACGTTTCACCTAGAGAAGTCACGTGGAATGTGTACTGGGAATTTCCCCTTCCATATTTGGCAGTTTTCTGCATGCAGTTGATCGATACCCAGCAAATGCGTACGCATTTTCTCTGCGTGTGCCACAACGTAGAGAACCCCATCTCCGCGTAGAAATCTGGAGCCAAAACACGCGAAGCCGTAGACTCTAACGCGAAGCCGTAGACTCTAACCCAGACACCTGCTCTCTACGTGATTTCTCAACGTTTCACGTATAGCAGAACCTCCCTATTGTATTGTGTTGCTTTTGCCCGTAAAAGAGGCTGTTCTACTCATGGCAACAGTGTACTAAAAATAGCGTGCATCTTGCTAAAGGTCGAACCCAAATCTCTGTATTTTTCTCCTTACGGTAAATACCGTTACCAAGAGTGCATAAACAAGTGTGTGCAACTGTGGTTATGGGTCAGTGCGCGGCGCGGCGCGCTGCCTTCATTACGTAACTTGCCTTCATCACGCTCTGAAAGCATGCATTCAAACTCACAATTTCTCGTACGAGCCCATCTGTTTTTGCTCGATTCGTTCCAGTACCTACGCAATCTCTAAATTCTGGCGCTTGAACTCCAGTTCCGTACGAAAGTTCATTTCAAACCAGAGGAAAAGTGCGGTGTTTGATTTTCCGCAGTGCGCGGACTGCAGCTGAATGATGTAATGAAGGCAGCGCGCCGCGCATCTGGCCCATAGAAAAGAGATCAGTTGCATACTCTTGTTTATGGACTCTTGCCGTTACAACATAACGTTTTTTGCTAAGGGTGTCTATTGTCTGTATTTCGTGACAAAAAAATCTGGGTGCGACTTGCACTCTACAAAATATTTCCGTTGGGTTGGGTTGGAGACGGATCAATTGAGGCGAAATATTTACGAACCCAAGTCAGATTGCCTGTAAACAAGTATGCCAGGAGCTGAATAAGAAACAATGATAAATCGAACAATCAGTTCATTCACTAGGTTTCGGACTGAGAATTTGAGGCTGGTAATGATACCAGCATCATCAGTATTATAGCTACTTCGTATGAACAAAAATAACTCGCGCTCATGTCAAACAACACAGTAGCAAAGTTCCGTTCCAGAACGTTTTCTTGTCACATTCGTCAATAGAAACTCGTGACTGAAAGAAAATGGATGACCAACAAAGGGATATAATTATACACTTTAGGTGAAGGTTAACAATGTGCAAAATATATCAGTTACAAGACTAGTAATCGTACATGGCAAATATTCACAAGCTCTCATTAGGGAAGTGCGAAGGATGTTATTGGTGCATCACGATAACAATGTGTAATATGCATGTGGAAAAACACTCGCCTAAAGTGTATACATGACATATTCTGTTGTTGGTCATCCATTTTCTTTCAGTCACGAGATTCCATTAAAATGAAAGGGACAAGAAAACGTTCAGGAACGAAACCGTTGCTACTTTGTTGTTTGACAAGAGCCCGAGTTTAATTTTGTTCACAGCTATTTTACGGTCATTATGTCCACGTCGATTATCATCAGTATTACTCAGGGCATGTTCGATTGGTAGGATCGGGATCCCGATCCACTGGATTCGCACCCTTTCGATTGGTAGAATCCGGATCCTTCGGATTAGGATCTGGTCAACCCACCTCGGGGAGCAGGGTTGACCGGATCCAAATGTGACCTTTGTGTGTATATGGCGGGTAAAAATCATTTTCGTACACATTGTGGTTCGCACACGAGCTTGTTGACTTTTTGTACAACTGGCACGGTGAGTACGACTTGTATTAGTTCGTCAACATGGCAACAGTCAAGGCCCAAAAAAGTGTCCAGTTGACTCTGAAGGATCCGACGGATCTGAGATCTGGATCCCGATCCTTACCAATCGAACATGCCCTTAGAGAGGTTAAGTTTCACGTCAAATTCTTACGCCCGTGAACTTTTACGTCAAAAATCAAAAAAACTCACGTCAAATTTGATGTGTTT